TTTTTTGCAGATCTTCAAGCTCTTTGTAGACACCAGGTTGACAAGATCCAATATGGATCCACCCTAGGAAATACATATTTATTCCCAGCATCACTCTTCGCACCCCAGCTTTTGCTAAACACAGAACTGGGAGAGCATTAAAAGATGCCACAACCCATATATATCAGGGGATAAAACAACATCCTTGAAATTCTTCACTGGAACTAACAGAGGGGCATCTGGGATTATGTCACATAATGGGGAAAACCTCTTGACCACAACCTCTAGGAAATGAATCTTCAAAAGAAAAAGACTAGTTTATCATGTATGAACTATGTACCAGCAAAGTGAATGTAAGTGATCAAGCAACATTCTTAAGAATACATGTTTCTACTAAAATTAAGACGTGTTTAGGTGATGCACATTTTATCTTCAACCGGAAGAGTAGAATGCATAGGTGATGATGAAGGCTATAATAGTTTCACAATGAAAAAAATTTAAGATTCTGAGGATGTTTGCTTTTCTCCTATGGCAAAATGTTCTAATACGGGTGATGTCATAAACATGTGGGCTTATTTGCTTTTCACTGATAATTCAAATAAAAATGGCAAGACATTTAGATGACAGATATTTCCTTATAAATATTAAAAATATAAAAAGATAACTGACTTGTTTAGGTGCTTTATCAGCTCTCTATCATACAAGACACAAGTTGTAAGTACTTACAACAAAGAAAATGGTGATAGTCTCTGCACATAGCTAGGTTTCATGTTATTCCCAGCACATTGTTGAATATATTGAAAAACCAAACAAATCCATAATTGTTGTACTGACTTATTTTTGTTGTTGCTGTTATTTAAAAGACTGGATGGAGTTGAGTGGTTGCAACAGAGATCATTTGCTTCATGAAGCCTAAAATACTAACTGGCCTCTAGATTTCGGGATTGTTTCAGAAAAAAAAAAGTGACTCAGAAAGATGTATACACGTTGGTAACAAACAGTCTGACTAAATGGGTACAGCTCTGGGAGAAAAGAGCAAAGGGCAGAGGACCACCAGAATTAATGCTAGGATGGGTTGGTCTTTATCATTCTTACAAATGATTTGCAAGAAGAAACAGAAACATCTCCAAATCCACTGATTGCCTTAGGCTCTGCTGGCTGACAGTGTTAATTAAAAAAAATGGGAGAGGATGGGGGCTGGAAGCTAAGGTTCAACAGAGGCACACATATGATAGTAAGAAAGTAATGCAAAACATGGCTCCATGCTATCGATTACACTACAGATACAAAGATATCTATGAGCCATTAGAATGTATTTTCTGAAAACAATATACTAAATTACTATAAAAAAATAAAAATCAATAAAATCCTGGACAGGAAAGCTAGCAGAAGATATTGTCCTGTGCTTGTTTCAAATGTGGTTCTTCACCCAGTGCAGTCTGCACTGTGCACACGGGAGCCCCAGGAAGACACAATAGAGGAGGAGACCTCAAAAAGCAGCTAAAATAACTCAGGAGACCAGGCTGAAATTTAAGAGAAGCAGGATGCCAAGACCTAAATCGGGGCTTTGTAAAATACTGTCCACGGGCCAAATCCAGCTGGCCACCTGCTTTCATTAGTGACGTTCTTCTGGAACACAGTGCACTGGTTCACTCATGAATTGTATGTGGCTGTCTTTGCACTTTAACAGCGGAGTGGAGTAGTTGTGACGGAGATCACCGGCTTCGTGAAGCCTAAAATACTAACTAAATACAAACTTAGACTTCACTGGATAAGTCTGCTGACCCCTCGCCAAAATCATAAATGAAGAAATTACAAACAACTTACATTTTGGAAATTAAAACAAGAAAACATAAAACTGGATCTAAGAAGAGTAAACTTATGAAACATGTCACCCTAGACAGAATCAAAGGCTAAAAGCTTCAAGAATAGGTTCAGAGCCATTCATAAATAATCTCTTAGTTACCAAGAAAGATGGATATTTCCGGGAAAGATATATGCTTAGTTTTGAAGAAAAAGAAATAAGAAAGACACCAACACACCTGTCCTCTCAGTTAGACAATTATGTCAATGTCCCCTAGCACCATTTTCAGACAGTGGACTACTGGACTGAAGTGAGGTTTGACTTCTGTCCAATGCTATTCCCCCAGAGAGTGAAAGATAAACCTCCTTTGATAATCAGCTGAAAATGGCCCACAACTCCCACTGATGTACTGTAAATTTTCCATCCCTTCTAAAAATCAAAGTAATAAATGTTTTTAGAGCAACTACCACCTCCAGACAGAAAAGTCCTGAGAATGTTGACAACTTGAAGGCAGGGAAAAAGGAAAGTTGTTCAACATCCACAATATGTCACTTCACATTCTAAGGCATTTGCTATTTTGCTGGTAAGAGAATGGCCCCACTGACAGACTGGCATGTGTGTCTATTGCCCTGTCTCAGAGGTCAGGCTGGACTGGATGCCACAGTGTGCCACCCAGTGTGGTGTGTGACTGACTTCTCTGCTCAACAATCCGGAGACAAACTCAGCTGCAGCCACAGTGCAGAGGAGCTAGGGGTGGCAGTTTGAGAACATCTGAAAGGGGAAAGGCTTTCCACTAACAGATAAATATTATACATAAACTGGAGGCCTGGTGCACAAAATTCGTGCATGGAGGGGGGAGTCCCCTCAGCCCAGCCTGCGTCCTCTCCACCAGGATCCCGTGGGGGATGTCTGACTGCCATAATCCTAGACCACTGGCTCCTAATTGCTCACCTGCCTGTCTACCTGGTCACCCCTAACTGCCCCCCCCCCCGCCAACCTGATCACCCCTCAATGCCTCTGTGTGCTGGCCTGATCACCCCTAACTGCCCCCCACTGTGGGCCAGATCACTCCCAACTGCCCCCTTCCTTCCAGTCTGGTACTCCTAACTGCCCCACCCCCTGCCAGACTGGTCGGCCCCAACTACCCCTCTCTGCCAGCCTGGTTGACCCTAACTGCCCCCCCTGCCAGCCTAATTGCCCCCAACACCCCCTTTCCCCCCCTCTGGCCTGGTTGCCCCCAACTGCACCACCCCTACTAACCTGGTCACCCCTCATGGTCTCCTGCAGGCCTGGTCACCCCATGCAGCCTGCATGTTCAGTTATTTGTTTGTCCCTCACTCACCCCCTGTGGCCTGGTTGCCCCACGCAGCCTGCTTGTTCAGTCATTTGATCATCCTCAAGCTGGCCCCCAGTGGCTGGGTAGCTGACATCCGAGGCTTGCCTGTGCCTTGGGCTGGCCTTGGGTGGATGGGGGTCTGAGAGGACTGGGGACCCCAGAGTCAGGTGTGCAGAGCAGCTGGACCCGCCTGAGGGTGGGCCCAGCTGTGCCACGTACCTGCTGCCTCGGCAGGGCAGAGGGGACTGGGGCTGCCATCTTGTGGCTGTGGGTGCCACCATCTTTGAGGGCATGGCAGTCAATTAGTATATTCCTTCCTTATTGGCTGTGGGCTCTGCCATCTTTGCAATGGCATGAGAGTCAATTAGCATATTCCCTCTTTATTAGATAGGACATCTACTATATTTTTATATAAGTATCTGGCTAACCAACTCTTATTTGAGTTTTGACAGTACGTTATTTTTCAGGTAAAATATAAAAAAAAAAAAAAAAAAAAAAAAATTGGCGAGTCTAGTACAATCTTTATTCCATGTAACATCACTCCATGAAAGATAGATTTAGAATGCTTTAAAATACCAGGTGTAACTGTTAACAATGTGGATTTTTTTCAATAGATGGAGTTACACATATGTTTATATATATGTGACTTGATATGTATGCTATTTTGTTGTATTGGCAGGAAGCTTCAAAACTTCATGTCAAATTTGCTGAAGGTGTGAACATCATAGATGTTTTTACAATTAAAAATGTTGAATTTCATGCCAAAAAAAGAGCATTTGCAGGAAGTTTTAATTTATTATTTTATTTTGAAGAAAGTGCTGCTGAAAGTTATCATATACTTTGGGAAGCTAATGGTGAACATGCTCTTTTTCAAGATACTTGTGAATGCTGGTTTAAATGCTTTAAAAGTGATGATTTTGATGTGAAGACAAAGAATGTCCAGGTCAACCAAAGAAGTTTGAAGACTAGCAATTACAAGCATTAATGGATGAAGATGGGTCTGCAAACAATTTCCAATTGTTTACAAGCAATGGGAAAGATTTTAAAGGAAGGAAAATGGGTCCCACATCAACTGAACAAAAGGCAAATGGAAAACCGAAAAGTCATCAGTAAAATGTTGCTTCAAGGGCACGAAATAATGTCTTTTTTTTGCATAGAATTGTGACTGGTGATGAAAAGTGGATTTATTTTGAGAACCCCAAATGCACAAAATAATGGGTTGATCCAGGTCAACCATCAATATTGACTGCAAGGCCAAAATGCTTGAAAAAGAAGACAATGCTCTGTGTTTGGTGAGATCAGGAAGATGTGATGTATTATGAGCTTCTAAAACAAGGTGAAACCAATCACTATTGACAAAATAATGAATCTGAACCACGCTTAGATCGTGAAATGACCAGAATGTGCCAGAAGACACGGCAAAGTAATTCTGCTTCATGATGATGCACTATCACACACTTCAAAACCAGTTAAAGACACTTAAAAGATTTGCCCAGAAAGTATTAACTCCCCCACTGTATTCACCAGACCTTGCTCCTTCAGATTACCACTTGTTCTGATCAATGGCACACACACTTTCTGAGCAGCACTTCAAGACGTATGAAGAAGTGGAAATTTGGGTCTCTGAATGGTTTGTTTCAAAACAAGAAAAGTTCTATTGGGACGGGATCTATAAATTACCTGAAAGATGTGTAGCTAGTGATGGACATTACTTTGAATAAAGCACTTTTGATGTTTCTCTGGAAATTATCATGTTTTCTTTGATTACAAATTCTGCACTATTAACCAATAAACCTGGTAAACTACAGCAAACTAAATGTATGTGGTAAAAGTGTAACATTTTTCCAAGTTCTCCAAGATATCTTAGTCATAGCTTCTTACCTTTGATGGAGGTTTTGGCAACGAAGCTGAATATTCTGGAAGCCTACAGAGTGAAAAATAAGATTTCTAGTCTTGGTTTTTCATAGATAAGCAAACAGAAAAGCTGGGCCTATTTAAGATTCAATAAGTCTTCTTTCTTCTGATAGCTTCACTTCTATATACTTTAATGTACAATCATTGCAGTGTAAAGAATGACATTTATCTAAATGAATAAATCTTTGCCCTAGCTGGTTTGGCCCAGTGAATAGAGCATTGGCCTGCAGACTGGAAGGTCCCGGGTTCGATTCCAGTATCACGGTTGCAGGCTCCTCCCTGGCCCAGGCCCTGGTCGAGGCACATACAGGAGGCAATCAATGTGTTTCTCTCACATCAATGTTTTTCTCTGTCTTTCCCTCTCTCCCCCACTCTATCTAAAAACCAATGAAAAAATATCCTGGGGTGAAGATTAAAAAATAATAATAATAAATAAATTACAAAATTTAAATCAATCAATAAATCTTCATTTCACAGATTCCTTGTATTGGAATTGTCTGAACTAAAAAATAAAATTAGAACTCACTTGTTGAAATCAAATTGCTTTTCTTTAGCCTCCATAAATTTGCATTTTTGGCACTGTAGTGTTTCTTTTTCATAAATAATGAATCTAGCACATATTTAAAAGTTAAAATTATATTAACCGTTGACAAAAAGCCATACAAAATTTGCCTTTTTTCCACCAGAGAGAAGTTTAATTGACATATATTTCTCCCTAAATCTTAACTTAAAAATTTTAGTTGAAAGAAAGGAATGTGAAATATAATGAGTACAAAAACATAAGGAATATAACTAGATAAGGAGCGACTAAGTAATCTAGGGAAATATTAAACAGAAGAATATGGTTATCGACTTAAAGCAGGCTTTCAACACATTTTAACCACCACAAAAAAAACTTCTGCTAGTTGTTTTTTAAAATAGGACAATTTAAATTTAAATTTGCTAAAAACAGCAACTATATCTATTAAAAAGTCATTTATCTTCATGTATGGGAAGAAAATGTAATTAATTATAGGAATGAGAAAGTACATTAACTCATCACACACATGAAATCTGAAAAACAGTTACCTACACCTAGGGAAAAAAACGTGTTTTTTAAAGGTAAAGTCTTATATTATAAAGGAACATAAATGAAGTCATTCATAAACCCTTCTGTCCTTAAAAACACAAGACTCCATTTTTTCCTTTTCTGGATTCCAAGTACTGGGTGTAATAAAGTTACTCAGTGAACATCTTATTTTTTAGTTCAGACAATTCCAATTTCAACATCTAATGAAAATGGTACAAATCTTTAATGTAACTTTCAAAAATATTCTACACACCACCTATTTTCTTTGCCACTTTTATTTCTATTAAAATGATCAAAAGAACCACACTTATTAAGTCTAAGAAGGAATAAAATTGTAACATAGTTCACTGTCTAAAATCACACCAACCCATAATTCCAATCCTGACACATGTTCTCACAATTAATATCCACTAAATCAATTCATTTTAATTAAGAAATGTCCATTAAAAATCAACTCCAAACCAGAGAGTTTATGACATAATTCTAAAATTATCTCTTATCAGAAACAGTGATATGATAAACCATAAAGAAATAATATTTCTGGAACACCAAGAAGTGAAAAGGTACTTCTTAATTATGATTGAAGATGAACAATACTCACTTTAAATATTTAGATAGGTCATCACTTAATTCTTTAGTGATGTAATCAGATATCAGGCCATGGGCATAACGAATATAGTCCTCTGAAAGAAACAGAAGCGTAAAAAAAAAATTATAGTAATAATTATGAAAGATTTAAAGCCAAATTGATCAGAGTTCAAATTCTTACTTTATCTAGCCTTAAAAACTCAAGCTTCTCACCTGTTTCCTTATATGTAAAATGGGGATGCTAATGTATATCTGTCCACTCAGTAGTGAGGTGATATGATGGATGAATATATAAGATATCCAAGATATGATCATGTAATATAAGTACAACACAGTAGATGTCCACTAAATTACAGATAAAACCTAAATTCTGGGTTGTTTTCATAGTTGAGACCCTATACAAATATTTATAGCTTATTTTTAAAACAATATGATTTTGTTGCCCAACTGCCCTCCCCTGCAGGCCTGGTCCCCCTGAATTGCCCTACTCTGACAACCATCTTGTAGTGGTCATCTTGTGTCCACATGGGGGCGGCCATCTTTGACCACATGGGGGTGGCTATCTTGTGTGCTAGGAGTGATGGTCAATTTGCATATTATTTCTTTATTATCTAGGGGTGTCGAACTCAATCAGAGAAGGGGCCAAAATCTAAAATCCAGCCTAAATCGCGGGCTGAATGGTTTACTGAACAGTCATAAACTGTCATTGTGATGGAAACGCAGCGGAGTGCAGTGATGACAGCGCGGTGCAGGCCACATTGCAAGGCCTGGCAAGATGGATTTGGCCCGCGGGCCTTGTGTTTGACACATGTGTACTGAGCCAGACCTGGTTTGGCTCAGTGGATAGAGCGTCGGCCTGCGGACTGAAAGGTCCCAGGTTCAATTCCGGTCAAAGGGCATGTACCTTGATTGCGGGCACATCCCCAGTAGGGGGTGTGCAAGAGGCAGCTGATCGATGATTCTCTCTCATCAATGTTTTGAACTCTCTATCCTTCTCTCTTCCTCTCTGTAAAAATCAATAAAATATATTAAAAAATATTATACACTGCGTGGTCAGGTTATTATGATCTCTGAATGCATAATAATCTGGCCACTCAGAGTGTGTGTGTGTGTGTGTGTGTGTGTGTGTGTGTGTATGTGTGGGTATGTGTGTATATATATTAGAAGCTCAGTACATGAATTTGTGCATGGGTAGGGTCTGGCCAGCCTGGCCAGGGGGAGGGGACATGGATGGTTGGCTGGCCTGCCTACTGGTTAAACTACTGGTCAAGGGGACAATTTGCATATTAGCCTTTTATTATATAGGCTATACACTGAGTGGCCAGATTATTATGCGTTCAGAGATAATAATAATCTGGCCACTCAGTATAAAGAATATTCTTCTAAACTAATAAAATGCAAAAGACCAACAAACAAAAACTAAACTCAGCAGATTGATTTTAAAGCATTTGGATCCTTGGTACTGAGTGTTAATTAAATGCAGTTACATAAGGTCTGGTGCGGCCAGGCCCGGAGCAGCGGCTGCCAGGCTGGGAGCGGCCAGGTCCGGAGCAGCCGGGTCGGGTGCGGCCAGGCCCGGAGCAGCAGCAGCCAGGTCCAGAGCAACTAGGTCGGGAGCGGCGGTGACCAGACCCAGAGCAGCTGGTTGTGGAACGAACCAGAGCAACAGAGGCCAGGCCCGGAGCTGCCAGGCCCGAAACAGCCTGCTCCTCGCCTGCCCCTGCCCCTCAGCTGCCTCTCAGACATGGCTGGAAACTTTTGTGGGAACTTGAGGGTCTGCTGAATCAAGTGATGAAGGCTTAGATCTGGATGTGTTGAGTTAGTATAGCGCTGGGGTGTTATCTGTGAGTGCCTTGGATGGGGCCTGGATGAGGCTGATTGACCTATTTGGAAATGTCTTTTGTGTGAAATGTATCATTGGGCATGTGGTGGTATTATTGATATGAGAAAATGCTAAGTAACTGATTTACTATCTGAAAATGGATTTACTATCGGGGAAAGAGAGGGAGGAAGAGACTGAACATAAACTGTGCACCTATGGATGAGGACAATGGGGAATGGGAAGGGGGCGGAGGGTGGGGTGGGAACCTGGTGGAGGGGGGAAGAAATGAGGAACCTTTGTAACAATATGAACAATAAAGATTGATTTTAAAAAAAATAAATAAAAATAAATGCAGTTACATAAGACAATAAAATCTGTTTTAAAACCTTGTTCCTTAATTTAGTATTTTATATAAGGTATAATCAAATTTAACCATAAGATGGAATAATCACATTGGGATATAAACTATCACTATCCCAGGTTTATTGCTAAGACATTTATTAGCTTCTTTTTTTTCTTTCTCTTCTACCTTCAAGTTAAGGTAACAATTTGCCTCAGTATTTGTTAGAAAGTGTCTGCTTCTTGAATCACCTGATCTCAAAAAGTCTTCAGTAAGATATTTTTACTGCTAATGTAGAAATGGAAAACTTCTCAAAATGTGCTCATGGTTCTGAGCTAGCAATTATTCAATGAATCATGAATGGACAAAGCAATTTTAAAAATGTCATCATATCCTTTGTTTGTTTCTTCTTTTAGCATATTAAGCTAAAGATCTTGAAAAAGGAACTAGCACAGAGTGGCTGGGAGACTAAATTGCAATATATTCTTATACTTACTAGTAGAAATTAATAAAAATACTGTACTGGGAGCAGACAACCTGGCCTCCTAGCAAAGATGGTGACCTGGAATAGTGGTCCACTTCTGAGACTACAAATTCTCATTTTGTATTTATTTATTTTTTAAATCTTTATTGTTGAAAGTATTACATATGTTCCCTTACTCTCCCATTGACCCCCTCCACCAAACCACCCCAGGCCCTCACCACCCACTGTCTGTATCCATGGGTTATGCATATATGCATACAAGGTCTTTGGGTGATTGCCTCCTACACACCCACCCTCCCTGCCTTCTCTCTGAGATTCCATATTCATGCTTCCATGCCTCTAGATCCACTCAGTTCATCAGTTTACTTTGTTAGATTCCATATATAAATAAGATCATCTAATACTTCCCTTTCTCTGACTATTTTCACTTAGCATGATGTTCTCCAGGTCCTTCCATGCGATCTTAAAGGGTAAGCAATTCTTTTTTAATGTTACATAGTATTCCATGTTATAAATGTACCAGTTTTTTATCTAATCATCTACTGATGAGCATTGGGCTGTCTCCAGAGCTTAGTTATTGTAAATTGTGCTGCTATGAACGTACAGGTGCACTCATTCTTTCTGACTGGTGTTTCTGATTTCTTAGGATATATTCCTAGAAGTGGGATCACTGGATCAAATGGCAGTTTCATATTTAAGTTTTTGAGGAAACTCCATAGTTTTTCATAAGGGCTGCACCAGTCTTCCTTCCCACCAGCAGTGTACTAGGATTTCCTTTTTTTCACATCCTTGCCAGCACTTGTCATTTGTTGATGGTAGTCATTCTGACAGGTGTGAGGTGATACCTCATTGTCATTTTAATTTACATCTCTCTGATAATCAGTGAACTTTGAACATGCCTATTGGCCATCTGTATGTCCCCTTTTGAAAAATGTCTATTTAGGTTTTTTGCCCATTTTTTAATTGAATTGTTTGTCTTCCTTCTGTTAAGTTGCATGTCTTCCTTATTTATTTTGGATATTAACCCTTTATCAGATGTATCATTGCCAAATACATTCTCCCATACAGTGGGCTCCCTTTTCATTTTGTTGATTGCCAGAAGCCAATTTCAGCATGCCAGCAGCCTTGAATCATCTGGGATGGCTGAGGACACCTCCCCCAAACCTAAATAGGATAACTGCTTGCTGCCAGACAGCTCAGAGCATTTTATTGCCTCCTGATGGCCAACACTGAACAGCTGTAGGCTATTCTCCAAACTGACAATGCTTCTGAACCCTTTGAAACCTTACCCTTTGAAGTGTATTATGTCCACCTTGCCTTAGGATAGTGGTTAGCAAACTGCAGCTCTTGAGCCACATGCCAAGGTTTGCCATTCTGTTGACTAATGAGTTTGCTGACCACTGCCATAGGACAAATTGTGTTAATAAATAGCAAGAGGTCCTTAGATAAGAGGTAGCTTCAGTTTCTTTAGCTGAAGATCCTCTGACACCCAATACCTTTCAAAATTATCTTTCGTCATTGGAATCCTTGAATCTACACATCAGCCCCTTTCTCCAAATTGCTGAACCCTTTGTAAGGCTGGGACAAGAACCTCGGCAGTTGATGATTTCTTTTGCTGGGCAGAAACTTTTTATTTTGATGTAGTCCCTTTTGTTTATTTTCTCCTTAGTTTCCTTTGCTCTAAGAACAGTGGTTCCCAATGTGGGGCACACCCCCCACAGGGGGCAATTTAATTTTTAAGGGCGGCAATTCGAGAATGAGTTAGTAACAGTGAAGTTTTTGCATTTCTTATGTTCTAGGGGTCTCATATACAGTATATGAATACATATTGTGTCATATTTATGCATTTCAGTTCTATATTATATGCTTTGAAACTTTATTTGCTATTTTTTCATATCACTTCATATTGTTATTATTATTTTTTAAACAATTTCTAGGTGATATCTTCATCAGTACTTCAACTGTCCTTTTGTTCTTTTAGTTTTCTCTTTCCTGGACATGTTCTCTGGAAACTGGTGTAGACCAAGTTTATGGCCTTTTAGGCTTCCTCCACCACATGAAGAGAAATAATAAGAATTATATATCACAAAGGGGCATCAGGATTTTAGAGATGCTTAGGTAGGGCATGGCCAAAAAAAGGTTGGGAATCACTGCCCTAGAAGATGTATTCATAAATGTATTGCTACAAGAGACATCTGAGATTTTGCTGCCTATGGTTTCTTCTAGGATTTTTATGGTTTCCTGATTTACATTGAAGTTCTTTATATCCATTTTGAGTTTATTATTGTGTATGGTGGAAGTTGGTGATCTAGTTTCTTTTTTCCTTTTTTTTTTTTTTTTTTTTTTTTTGCTTTTACCTAATTTTCCCAACACCATTTATTAAAGAGTTTGTCTTTCCTCCATTGTATACTCTTATCTCCTTTGTCAAATATTAATTGAGCATGATGACCTGGGTTGATTTCTGGGATCTCTGTTCTGTTCCATTTATCTATATGCCTATTCTTGTGCTAGTACCAGGCAGTTTTGATTATGGTGGCTGTGTAGTATAACTTGATATCTGATATTGTGATTCCTCCAACTCTGTTCTTCTTTTTCTTTTCTTTTTTTTTCCCCTTCTTTTTTTTAAAAAAAATATTTTATTGATTTTTTACAGAGAGGAAGAGAGAGGGATAGAGAGTTAGAAACATCGATGAGAGAGAATCATCAATCAGCTGCCTCTTGCACACCTCCTACTGGGGATGTGCTTGCAACCAAGGTACATGCCCTTCACCGGAATCGAACCCGGGACCTTTCAGTCTGCAGGCCAACGCTCTATCCATTGAGCCAAACCGGTTTTGGCTGTTCTTCTTTTTCAAGACTGCTATAGCTATGGGGATCTCTTTTGGTTTTATATAAATTTTTGGAGTATCTGTTCCAGATCTGTGAAATATGCCATTAGTATTTTAATAGGAATTGCATTGAATCTGTAGATTGCCTTTGGTAGTATGGACATTTTAATGATGTTGATTCTACCAATCCAATGAACACAGAACTCAACTTGTTTATATCTTCTTTTATCTCTTTTTAATGTCCTGTAGTTTTCCAAGTACAAGTCTTTTACATCTTTGGTTAAATTTATTCTATAGTATCTTAATTTTTTTTGTGGCAATAATAAATGGGATTTTTGTTTGTTTCTCTTTCTGATAATTTATTATTGATGTATAAAAAAGTCATCAATTTTTGGGTATTGATTTTGTATCTTTCTACATTACCACATTAATTTATTAAATCTAGTATTTTTTGTGTGGATTCTTTAGAGTTTTCTATGTACAATATCATATCATCTGTGAATAATGAGAATTTTGCTTCTTCCTTTCCAATTTGGATGTCTTTTATTTCTTCTTTTTGTCTGATTGCTGTGGCTAGTACTTCCAGTACTATGTTGAATAAGAATGTTAAAAGCAGACATTCCTGTCTTGTTCCTATTCTTAGGGGAAATGGTTTTAGTTTTTTGCCCACTGGGTATGATGCTTGCTATAAATTTGTCATATATGGCCTTTATCATGTTGAAATATGCTCCCTTTATTCCCACTTTGCTGAGAGTTTTTATAAAAAATGGTGTTGGATTTTGTCGAATGTTGATTGATATGATCATGTGATTTTTGTCTTCAATTTGTTTATGTGATGTGTCTTGTTTATTGATTTGTGAATATAGTACCAGCCTTGCATCCTTGGAATAAATCACACTTGGTCACAGTTATGATCTTTTTAATATATTGCTAGATCTGACTTACTAATATATTGTTGATATCTCTATTCATTTATGTTTTCTTCTGGAGAATTCTTTGATTCTTTCATTTGGGGGTTGTTTCTTTGTCTCCTCATTACTGCTGCCTGTTTGGGTTACAGTGTTTCCCAAACTTTTGACATATGTGTATCCCTTCTATAATTTTCGTAACACTGAGTACCCCTCGTACTCATGAGAATGTAGAATTAGGTGGAGCTAAGCATGGTGCAGTGCATATCCCCACCAAACTCCAGTGCAATGTGTACCTGGGGGTACACGTACCATACTTTGAGAAACACTGATGTATTAGATAGATCTGCTACGCCTCTCAATCTCTAGTGCAGAATAATGTCAAATGCTATTTCTGACTAATTAGATCAGGCCAAGACTCAAAGACTCCAGAGACCGCCTGGTCTACAGACTTATAGGATTTTATCTTGAATAGCCCCCAGGCAATTGTCCACAGGTGTGGTGAAAGTTTTTTCAACAGGGCAGGGCAATTGCTTCTGCCTGGAGGCTAACTGCTATTTTTAGTCTTTTAATGAGCCTCAGATACTCTGGTGTTTTCCAATAGAGTGGATCAACCATCTTCCCCCACAGGTAAAACCGCTTAGATTACAATTGTCTTCATGAGAAAGATGACCTCCGCAATGTGAGGGAATGAGTCAGCACAGGAAACCAGGGTGTCGGCCTTTTGGTTTCTAATCCCAGAACCACCGACCCTGGCTTCTCACACAGCTCAAGTCCACTATGTCCTCCCTCTGCCAAAGTACCAGGTGAGTAGCTCCAGAGGAAATTTTGTGTGTTGGCTCTTTAAGAATATGCTTGCATTTCTATCCATCTCTCCCTAGTAGACAGCGACCCCACTGCTTTTCATAGCCAGGTGTTATGTGGGTATCATTCTCAGTTCTAGTGCTCTCTGCTGAAAGGCTCAGCTTGGGGATTAGACCCTAGAGTTCTCAGTGGCAACCTGGACAGCTGAGATATCTCATGTGGAAGCCTAGGACTTCATTGTGAGTGCCGAGCCAGCCCTTTTGCGCCTCCATCCCTCCTATCAGTCTCTATATGGTCTCCACTTTCTATGCTTGGTTTTCAGGGTTCTCTCCAGTGAGTCTTCAGTTGATTATTTCTGTATTTTAGTATTTCTATATTTTAGTTGTAATTCCACTTTGGTCCTAAGAGCATGTCCATACAACATCCACTCACTCCACCAACATTTTTAATCATTCAATTTTTCATTTTTTAAACTGATATCTGCCTAAATAACCTCTAATATTGCTTCTCATACTAATACACACACACACACACACACACATATACTATGGTTTTATCCATTTATCTGTCCACTTATCTGTTAAAACCTTTCCTTTTGTTGAAACCAACCAAAGAACCTGATGACAGCTGGTATAGTGAGGGTACTATCCACCACTCCCAGAATGGCTGGAGCCAGCTATCATCTGTCTGTGCAAAGTGTTCAAGGCATATTTCTGCAAATCAAAGACTGCCTCAATTATAATAAATCACAAACAGAGCATTGTTCCTAATTTTTATTTTTTAATGACTAAAGTCAGGTGTTTCACAATTGTATACCCAGAATAGGAGAACTCTGAGCTGAAGGTTAAAGTCAGAATAATTTCTGCCCCGCCATTTGAGAATGTTAATTGCATTATATAGCTGTTTTTATTCAATAAGTAAGGTATATTACACTAGAAAAAGCAAAATAATGCACTTTAATAACCCCAAAGAATAAAAAATTGCTAAATGAATTAATTTTTACCTAAAATTGAAGTACTGAGACCTAATGTAGGACAAATGCTTCTTTAGAGAAAGATGCAAACAGATGAAGCTCATTAGACAGCCTATACTACACAAATAATAAACAAGAAGCTTAAGTATGGGCTTAGGACTAAACCAGCTCCTTAATAGCTTAGCTTCACCATTTTACCAGCAATGCAACTTTGGACAGAGCCTCAAGAATGAGACTTATTGGAGTCAGGTGAGATAATGTGTGTACACTGGCAACTTAGCAAAAAGGCTTGGCATATAATACACTCTCAGTAAATGAAAGGCAGATCTGTTAGAGTTGTTATTATTAGTGCAAAATAAACATTTGCTGAATGAATGATTTAAAAGTATCCATTAGTGACAGACGTGACCTATGGTAGAAACATTACGTGGTTCTGAAATAAAATGCACACCTGTCACAAGATGAGAAGACATGGTAAGAATGTAAAGCTTCTGAAACATTAAGATTTTAAAATCATAAGGTAGGCATTTATAACATCAGCATCATACTTAAGAATACTTTCTGATGAGTCTATTTACTTACCTTCCCTGTCACTGGAAATCTGGTGACCGGAGAAAAATGCAGCTGATTGTACCCGGGCACCAACATTTATGCTATTGTTTTTTAATGCTGCCACAGTCTGATTAACCTATTAAATAACCAAAAGGGGAATATTAGGGTATTTTGAACTAACGCCAGAAATCTACAACTTTCCAGATAAGTCTTCAATTCATTTAAGATCCAGGAAGGAATATTTCTTCTGGAGATATAAGAAGGTGAGAGACAGCTGCATGTTTGGAGAAGGGTTGAGCAGCAGCCATAGCATTTCAAGATGATCTCTAGATACTTCTTAGGGCTACACAATAGAGAGCACTGACTCTGGAACCAGGCTGCTTGCTTGGTTTTGCTCTGTGACCATGGGCTAATTACTTAACCTTTCACTAAAATGGGGATTAAAACAGTATCTACCTCATAGGATTGTTATAAAGATTAAATGAGTTAATATACAGGATGGGGCAAAAGTACATTTATAGTTGTTCGTATGGGAAAAAATACAACTTAATAGGTAATAATACAAGAATAAACTCTGTTTCACATACTCAAAACTGCAAACTTACTTTTGCCCCACCCTGAATGTAAAGGCCCTTACATCAGAACCTGGCATAAAGTTTATATATAATAATTTTCTAAACAAAGTAAATAATTAAATTTCCCAAATCCTAGGAATTTAAGAAAGGAAACATAATAAATATAAATTTCACTTTGCTATTCATGTCATTATTATTTAAGAGCAAAACTAAATGTCAAGATTCTGTTCAGTACACTCATTCTTTACTAATACCGTGTTTCCCTGAAAATAAGACATCCTCCGAAAATAAGACCTAGCACATGGAAAGATAAGACATCCCCTGAAAATAAGACCTAGCGCAACTTTGGGAGAAAAAATTAATATAAGACACTGTCTTATTTTCGGGGAAACAGGATAGTAGACTATTACTAAGGTGAATGAAAAGTGAAACATAGAGGCACCTTTAAATTTTTTTCACTACGCTGTACAGTAGGAGCCTAATTAATTTTACTTTTATAGGTTCATTTCCATGCTCCCAGGCTCCTAATATGTCCAGTAACATATGACACACAAACGGGTTTTTCACAAGATGGAAGGCAATAGAAGAGAATCTTAGGAATCAGTACTGTAACTACTGGTATCACTGACTTACAATACTCTCAGCAACAGATATCCTTTGGTAAGATTCTTAAGCAATGTCAAAGTACACTGCATCCTTAGACTAATGGGATTCAAAGTATTTTTTGTGTTGTTGTCTTTTTAGCCACAACCCACAGTAAGAAATACACAGCAACCCAATACTGAAACACATATAAATGTTTCATAGAGCCATACTTAATACCTGCACTTACTTTATTAAATTTTAACACATCCTATCTATCCTATCCCATTCCAATACTGATTGTGACTTACTCAATCAATATGGAAACACTACCAGATCTTATATGCAGTCGGTCTACTTCTTAGGATCACTAAGAATACAGGGTGCCTGGAAGATGACTCCTCTCCAGCATCCCAATATAGAGCAGGACACATGTCCTCTAAGCCTGAATCCAGTTGGCCTCAGGCCCCTGTCTGGCTGCTGTGAGCAACACCACCTCTGAGACAACTGTAGGACCAACTGCAGCAAATGTACCTCAGGCCTAGTATAGTCTAGCTTGGAAGATTCAAATCTATACCAACAAAGAGCAAGAACGTCTTTCATTCAGTGGTGAAGATCATGGGAAAATGGGGATGCAGGTCAAAACAACAACAAAAAAACCACCTAGCAAACTCCAGAGACATGAGTTAGGGAGGATGAAAAGTGAAAGATTTATTAGTTGGAAATACAAGATAGTCTTTGGTTTACGACTTACCATATTCTCTAGTTTTAAAAAGGTGTACTGAATTATTTCTGCCATAGGCACTAGAGAAGTACTATACCTTTTTTTCCAGCCACTTTAATGTCTTCTCTTTGCTGTACTTGTAATATTTCTTTTTGCCTATTTCTGGATTAAATTAAAAGAAAGAAAAAAAGAAGACTGAGCATAGTACATTAAAGAGAAATAAAATGCATAAGGTTATATCACATACAACAGGAGTGGGGAATGTCTGGCCCCAGGGCCATATAAGGCCTGCAAAATAATTTGGTCTGGACCTGTCAAGGCATTAGGGGTTAATTAAATGTTTGACCAAACATAGCAGGGTAATTTTTAAGTTGATAATTTTGTATGGCCCACAAATTATGTTATAAATATACAAATGGCCCTTGACAGAAAAAAGGTTCCCTACTCCTGATGTACAAGATAATTTTAAAATATTTTATATTCGTGTATATTCTTGAAAAACGCAATTTGCAAACCTGTGAGTGTACTTGAGACATTAAAAAAAATTCCAGAATAGCCCTGGCCAGGTGGCTCTGTTGGTTGGAGTGTCTTCCAATACACAGAAGGTTGTGGGTTTGATTCCCATTCAGTGCACATACCTAGGTTGCTGGTTAAGTCTCAGTCGGGGTAAGTGTGGTAGGCAACTTATCGATGTTTCTCTCTCATATCCATATTTCTTTCCCCCGCCCATCTCTAAAAATCAATAAGCATATCCTTAGGTGAGGAAAAAAAAAAAAAAAAAATCCAGAACAGAATTTGGTTGGAAGTATCCAACCATTAAAGGAGTGGGAATTTAAACAAATCATATTATACACACAAATCTGTAGAAAAGATAATTTTTTAAACAGAAAATTAGCAAGTGAAGAAAACTTCATTTCTCTGCATAAATTTAAGCTCACTTCAAAGTTTTCAATAAAAGACTACTTTTCTAAAATAAAAACAAAAATCCCATAAAAGAAAATTGAAACTAAATGCAGATGCCTATGAATATTCCTTTATCAAATATACATTGTTAACTACTCAGTACTGTCATGAGGGGATTAGTGAAGAAAAAAAGACAGCTCTTTCTTTCACTGTATTCCAGTATAACCATTGCCATTTCGAGGGAATTTAGATTTATGATACTATGTTCAACCTAGCCCTTTTATATAAGGGATAAAAGTTCATGTCTTATAATTTATACCTCCTGTCCTCACAATCTACCTAGCATTAGCTACCATGTCACTGAACTACTATTTCCTGGGTAACTCTTCATTCATGGGAAGTCTTGGATTCTGTGCAGGGGCACTTCCACTCCACTTCCTGCCCCCAGGAATTATCCTGTGACCACTGGATAAGGGCAGATGCAAACACCAGCTTATGGCTCTGTCACAGCCATCCTAGATTGCATAGAATGACGTTTTCTCTTTCTCTCCTCTGTAATAGTAGTGGGAAATGGAAACTGCCCTATTTTTCCGTGTATAAGACACCCCCATGTATAAGGAGCCCTCAACTTTTCCAACCCAAAATTAAGAAATCAATATTTTAAACATTTTGCTGGTTTTCCTCTTAAGGCCTTCTTCTTTTTTGGCATCTTAAGTTGTTGTTCTTCCTGTTTTCTCCACTGTCTGATCATACACTCAGTGGGAAGAGGTCCTTGTCTCTCTGCAACTCTATTTCCATGCTCTTTTGCATAGTGATTACATTCAGTTTGAATTTTACAGAGTAAGACAATCATTTACCAGTATTTATCTTTTTATTTTTGACATCTTTATGGGCGTTCCCTGTTGCATCTGTGCACTCTCCACCTCCACCTCCAATTATGGCATTAGTTGATGTCAGTAACAATAAGGCTCATGATTGGAGGAAGCCTGTTTGACTTGTCAGTTTGCCTTTGTAGCTGGGATATATGAGGCACTTCGTATATTCCAGTGTGGCTCCCTCCTCAGCTGACTTGCATGTGTAAGTCACCCCTTGATTTTCAGTGATTTTAGAAAAAAATAGCATCTTATACATGAAAAAATATGGTACAGGGGTCACTTTACTACAGTCTGTTAATTGCTTGAGTTCCACTAAATGGTTTGCATGGGGAAGGGGCTGGCAGGTCCATGGCCCTAGGAAAAATACATATTCTCCCCATTTCAGCCTGTGGTTGTCAACATTGTGGGCACTAGAAAGCAGGATAGAGTGGGAAGCCAGATCTATGCTCCTCTCTCCTCAGGACCTGTCACTAAATAACAAAAAGGAGGCACTGTTGCAAATGGTATCCTCTCAGAAATTTGAGAATTTCAAGATGCAAGATCTGCTGTTCCCAGAGCGAGGACTGCCTGGGCAAATAACCTGTTGTAGAACCAAAGTAGAGGAGACTGGACCCATCTTCCCTGGAGACAATGTCCCACCCACATATTGTACATTAGGGCAGTGGTTTGCAACCCATAGGTTGAGAACTGCTAGCAGGGTTGCCTAGGACCATCGGAAAACACAGATATTTACATTACGATTCATAAAAGAAGCAAAATTACAGTTATGAAGTAGCAACGAAAATAATTTTATGGTAGGGATCACCACAACCATAAAATTAAAGGGTCGCGGCATTAGAAAGGTTGAAAATCACTGCATTAGGGGAATTCTAAGAGCATTGTTGCAATCACTCAAAAAATGTACACTGTTCATTGGACTTTAAAACTGCTGTTCATTGCCTAAACAAATAATCACTAAAGAAGCTCAGGTCTCTCTTAAGAAATCCTAATTTGGCTACTCACTTCGTTCTTATCTCTACCTCCAAATTCCCTGAAAGAATGTTCTACAATCTGCCCATTTCCTCCCTCCCTCCCACTCCCTGTGCCCCTTGCAGGCTATTCTTTCCCTCTTGAAAATGCTCTTTTAGAAGAGGAGTCAGTGTCTGAACCATATTTCCTGGGTTCCCATACTCGCAGAGCACAATTCACCTTGGGAAGTCACTTAATAAATGGGATGATCCATACAAATCCGATTGCACAACACCAGGCACATGACAAATACGTAATATTAGTTAAGAACAAATGAGAACTGACAACCTGTTCATGATAATAGTATCTGAAACTAATGTACATTCAGGACTGTTCTATATACATTCTTTTTTCTTTAAAAAAATATTTTTATTAATTTTTAGAGAGAAGGGAAGGGAAAAGATACATTGGAGTGAGAGAGTGAAACATCACTTGGCTGCCTCCTGCATGGCCACTACTGGTAGAGCAGGGGTTGAGCCCACAACCCTGACATGTACCCTGACCAGAAATCGAACCAGCAACCTTTCCGTACAAGAGATGATGCCCGACCAACTGAGCTACAACGGCAAGGGCTGTGCTACCTTCATTATACACAGTTTTTCCACTGAATGCTCGAATGAATGGCTAGTTCAAAGGCTTACGTATTTGTCCCCATCTTAATGGACTGGGCGTGAGTGAAGTTCAATAAATTGTTCAGAGTCACTGAGCTAGTAAGCAGGAGCATCAGGATTCCTTTTCAAGCTGGCTGCAAGCTGTGGGTCTGATGCTCATTTTACCAAAATCAATTAGCTCCTCATTCAACTGCCTCAGTACTTGTAACCCTGTTATTTGCTGGTAAAAAAATCTCTCCACCAAGCTTCTAAAAAACCTTTCTCTCAGTTTTTCTATATCTCTGATGACTTTTCCTCCGATTCTTTCCTAGCTCTCCTTCCTCCTCCTCTGAGACCAATTGTACCTTTCTCCTGGGTGACTTAATCCAGTCTCAACACTAAATAAACCCAACCAGGAAGCCTGCAAGTCCTGAGCTGGTGTCCTGAGCGCCTAAAGCCAAACCGAGCACCTTCCTCACAAACAGCCCTCCTGGACACTCAGCCTCGGATCTCAGAGCCAGTGCTCACTCCTGTCTTCCTCCCCACATCCCATCACTAGACTCCACAAGAGAAGGGAAGGAGCAACATCACCTTGTAGAGGACAATGGGGAAGGAAAAAGCAAACAAGGAAAAAACTGTCAGAAATCAGCAGGTTTACCTTCTTGTGCTGGATCAGTAATTACTTCATTAAAAAAAAAAAATTATCTTGCCCTAACAGGTTTGGCTCAGTGGATAGAGCGTCAGCCTGTGGACTAAAGGGTCCCAGGTTCGATTCCAGTCAAGGGCATGTACCTTGGTTGTGGGCACATCCCCAGTGGGAGTGGGTAGGAGGCAGCTGATCGATGTTTCTAACTCTCTATCCCTCTCCCTTCCTCTCTGTAAAAAAAAATCAATAAAATATATTTTAAAAAATAGGATCATGAATGTTTCAGCTGTTGATTTTTATGTTACAAGATCTATATATTGCACAGTGTGCCCACCACTCAAAGTCAAATAATCTTTTGTCAATATGCTTACCTTTAAAATTCACAAATTTTTATAAGCAATGTTTAAAATACTCACGAAGGCCACAGATTACCCATGTCATAAATTTCATACTTAAGAGAGTTAATGATGAGATAATATGCACATATGCTGGGAAGGTTTCTTTCCCTCATGTGTCTGGTAACTATAAAACTGGTTTCAAAATATCTCGAAAGATTGGGCTTACAAAATAAAGAGAGCATAAAAGTGAGTTCACTATTAAATAACATGTCCAGCAATTGGATAATCTGTTCACAAACTTGAATTTTCCTGATGGATTGTAGAACAAACTGTCTAGAGCACATTTTTAGATCTATTTTCTCAATGTTTCCTACAATTGAGAAACTCATATGGTCTCTTTTTTCCCCTGCCTCCTGGGGATAGAAACTTGGCAACTGCACTCGGGACATTTTAATCAGGTAAGTTTTCCTGACTTCCTGTTAATCACACTGGACAGCACAGTGTTGCTTTTGCTTACAGTATGAAACAGAGTGCAACACTCAAGAAGAAGTTCATAACCCTTTATAGTTCTTTCCCCTGACATCTCTCCATGACTGTGAGCTCCTTTGGCAAGAAACGTGCTGAGCCTCAGAGCTAGCAAACAGAAACATATAATTTCCTTCACTAATAAAACTGGCAGTGCTAACTAAGGTCACTGCCATCATCATTCAGGATACAAACAACTGTGGCAGGGTATATTTGGCAAGGAGAAGGCAAGGGAGGAAGGTTTTCATAAAACTAGAAGATGTAACAAGATCTTTAATGACATAATCTTTTAAGACAGCATCTGGAATCCAATATCAAAATAGTTGGCAGGGTAATTTGAGTATTTGAGCTTTTACGCTATTTGCTCAGTGCCTGTGGAGAGGATGAAAGTTAAAAAATAACAGCTTTCTTCTTTATCTTTGCTCCTTATCATGGATATTACCTGACCACTCTTGAGCAGTCTTCTTTGTTTCTTATTTAAAAACTAGACGCCTGCCGAAGCCGGTTTGGCTCAGTGGTAGAGCGTCGGTCTGCGGACTGAAGGGTCCTAGGTTCGATTCCGGTCAAGGGCATGTACATTGGTTGCAGACACATCCCCAGTAGGGGGTGTGCAAGAGGCAGCTGGCTGTTGTTTCTCTCTCATCGATGTTTCTAGCTCTCTATCTCTCTCCCTTCATCTCTGTTAAAAAAATCAATAAAATATATATTTTTAAAAAAGCAAACAAAAAAAACCCAACTAGACGCCTGGTGCATGAAATTTGTGCATGGGGGAGGGTGTCCCTCAGCCAGGCCTGCAATGACAAAAGCATTCCGCGTCCAGAGTGGCCAGAGGCCCTCTGTGGCCAGGTGTGGAATGCTTGCCTCATCACTTTGGCGACAAGGCAAGCATTCTCACCGCCTTCCCGGCCACTCCGTGCCCAGTGACAGGAGGCTCTCTGTGGCCGGGGTAGATAGCTTACCTTGTTGCTGTAGTAACAAAGCAAGCATGCCGCCAGGCCACTCACACTGCCTGCTCTCAGCCACTCCCCCCTCCCCCCGCCCCGGGACTGGGGGGTTCCAGCAGGGCTGAGAGGACCGGGCACTGCCATCTTTGTGGCAGAGTGACTGTCAATTTGCATATTCCCTCTTTATTAGATAGGATTCCAGCAATAAAATGCAAAGAATGGAACCAACAACTTATAAATGGACAATCACCCCAAATCAAATAAGCAGCCAGCACCCAAGGCAATCACTACAATAGGATAACACAGTGCCTTGAGTACAGAAAGCTCATTGCTAGGATTAGTAAAAATGCCTTTTCTTACTCGATTAAAGTTTTGTCTGTCCCTCTCTTATAGCCTCACAAAGGGAAATTAAGAGGTCATATAAGATTTTTAAAAAGTTTCTATTTTTACATATGACAATACCTAAGCATTCAAACAGAGTATTGTGGAAGTGTTAACATAGTTGTAAGAAGAAAGGTTTGGAAATAGAAATAAAGAATTTACTAGTAGGTAAGTTCCCCAAAGATAAAGGTGAAAGAATTTATTCACTTATACATTTTAAGCTCCTACCGTAGTCCCTGCCATAGGATAAGCTTTCGGAGAGTATTTGTTAAATGATTGAATGATAAATAAATGAAAGAAAAAATGCTATTTTCACACACAAATTAACCTAATCTGGACAATCTGCTGTGATTTTGCCTTTCTGAGTTTGTAGAGAAGTTGATTATCTGATGCCAAATAAGTGCATATAAAGAGATACCTTTATTTATTTATTTATTTATTTATTTATTTATTTTTAAAATATACTATTTTATTGATTTTTTTACAGAGAGGAAGAGAGAGGGATAGAGAGTTAGAAACATCGATGAGAGAGAATCATCAACCAACTGCCTCCTGCACATCCCCTACTGGGAATGTGACCACAACCAAGGTATATGTCCTTGATCAGAATCAAACCTGGGACCTTTCAGTCCACAGGCCGATGCTCTATCCACTGAGCCAAACCGGTTTTGGCAAAAAATAAAGTAAAAAGGGAAAGAGTTACTGTCATACAGACAGAAAAATATGAATTCAAATCTCAATTCTATCACTTCAAGTTCTAGGATTTTCAACTGTGTTAACAAAATTAAAATAATTATAATTATTCCTCATTGCTTTAGCTTTCAGAAATGAGCTACACATTTGTCACCAGAAAAAGACTGCTCTCTCCTGCCAAACTCAGCATCAGGGAATGTGTTTAATGGAATGCTTTGATAAAGCCTTGGCACCACACATCCCTCAGACACAAAATGGAGTGTTAGGTCTGGCCAAGTGTGAACTTAGTGGACCCCTCAAATGTAAAATGCAATCAATGAGGTTCTCCCCTTTCCCACTGTAAGCTTACACTTCTGGGAATCACCACTTTCTTGGTCCCAGAACTGTCATAGTTGGCCAAACTATCTGTAACCCCAAACAACCACAACTTATCAGCCTGTTGTTATAGTCCCTGTATGGTTTCCATATTAACCCTGAAATTACTTGGGGCACTGATGCTAAATTTGTATAGTACTCCTAACTGTTCAAAACACATTCACACACACTGCCTCACTTTTTCCTTTCAAATTCCAGAGAATAATACCTAAAATTCATCTCTTTTTACCCCCAGCCTGCTCCTCCCACCCATGTTTCCTGTCTCCAGGATGCTACTACTATACAACCTGCTGGTCAACAGACAAAACCAGAAGTCATCCTTGCCTTCTCTTTCTCCTTGATTACTATCCAATTACCAAATGAGTTAGTTCTACTTTCAAATTGGTGATTATTTCTAGTTCCATTTCGTAAGGTCAGGCTACAGTCATCCTCTGCTTGGATCACTGCAATGGACTCTCTGAATCTGGCCTTAGCTTCTCCAATATACTCCACTCTATCGTACTTTTTGCTTAAATTTTTGCTGACACTCCATTAGGTAAAGTCCAGATAAATATAATGCCCTTCACCATTGGAAGGAACTCTTGCCCAATATTCCACCCCATTTCTTCCTTACTAAATCCGTGCCTGACATCCTATATTTTGGACGCACTGAACTCCTTAGGATTTCTTGAATGTGACACATTTTCCATACACCCATGCCTCTTTTTTGATGCTATTCTGACGTTATCCTTCAGGACGCCACTTATAGGTCATTCCCTCTAAGGAGAGAAACGCAATGCTCAATGACCTGCATTCCCACCCAACCCAGGCCAGGTTATAAACCTGTCCTGTAGAACCCCAGAAACCCAAGGTCACTTCCATTAGTTCCTATTGTTTGCCTTACTCATCGTTTGCTCCTATCAAACTGAAAGCTAAATGAGCGAAAGAATGATGTCTTATTTATAAGTATGTATTGCCAGAACTAGCACCAGTGCTCAATGTATGTTTCTTAGTAGATGCTCAATAAATACTTCTTGAATCAATAAAAGTATAGGTTTTTATGTAATTTTACAAATGAGAAATATGAGTAAGAAAGCAGTTCAAGTCACAGACTAATTCAAAGAACTGAATTAGTCCAAGTCTTGCAAATCCTGGCCCTGTAAGAGACAAGCCACCACATTTCGCTGGTCGGAAGGTTAAAGACTGAACAATCCAAAGCACCGGAGGACTGGAATTGACAACTGGGAGCAAAATCTGAATGACAGTTTCCCCTAGGACCCACACAGCCTAAGCATTACCCTCAGCGGCCTTCAGGCAGCTCCATTCTCAGACAGGTGCCCGCCCTTCCAGTAGCCATCAGACTGATTTCATAGTTGGCCAAACTGTCTGTGACCCCAAACAACCACAACTTATCAGCCTGTTGTGGTCCATGATGACTACCTTTTTCCTCTGTCACGTGTCGAAGTAACTTCTCAAGTTCAGGAAGTTTCAGCAACAAGATGCAATTCGGAAACACATCATCCACCACAACTTGATCTAGAGGCTGAAACTTGCCCTGAAAAAAAACTTTAGTCAGTAAGAATGCAAGCACACCAGTCAATAAATCCACACATGAAAAAAATAAAGATATATTACCCCATAGCTGGACTTTTAAACCAAGTTCAAAGTCACGTGTTCACCTAAGGAATCCCTAAACTGGGACAGGCTCCAGAACTGGCTCTCAGCTCCCCTTTAGGAGGCCCTTGAAAGAGTTTCAACCTCATGAGTACAAAAACTGGATAAAACCGGGCAGCAAAGTTCTGAAAAAGTACTGGAGGTTATGGAAACTTGCAAAGATGGTAGATTACCTGGGGCTGGTCCAACCCATTTAATTTGAAAAAGAGCCAGCTGATGTTACAGAGCAGGAGTCCTGCCCATAACCAGAAATAAGCCTACATCGAGCCCAGCGCGTACATCTCCTCTCCCCTCCTTGCATCTCCAGTGTTTTAAACACCACAAAAAAAGAAACATAGCAAAAGTGAATCTACTCCTGTCAGAGCTGTCTGACAATGATTCCAAATTTAGGCCATAATGAAAGAAGAGATAGGGGGGTGAATGTAAGGACTTGCAGACACATTAAATCAGGCTCAGCTTGATAAATATACGTGGCCTGGTAGCCAAGTGCAGGACACAGAAATCCAGATCATCCTTCACCTCAGTCAGGTTTAGCTTTTCTTACCTTTACTGACCTGGAGAGAAGTCTGAGTTATTAGTTCCCTGACTCAGGGATATCAGACTTTGTAAAGGTGTATGGTTTTGCTCATGTCTCACTTCTAGTTCACTCTACTTTTCTGTGTTAATGACAGTTCCACATGAAGACAGAAAACCTGTGTCTGATCAGTTTTCTTTCTGTAAATACAGAGTTCTTTGTTTGAAGGGTAAAAGCTTCTCATTTATTCAGTAGCATGTATGATAGCCTGTAATTCTGTCAGTTAGGTTAACAAGTGGCAAGAAGTGCCTCAATTTAAATATTCTCTTTTTCCCTCAGATAGTAAAAATAATTCACAGATTTCCTAAGTCTTACTGTCTTTAGATTTCTACCTTAATTTCTATTCTTCTATGATCAACATTTTAAATCTTTTACTACCTTAAAACAACATTCTATATATATATATAATGGACTACTATACAGTCATATAATATAATTTCAAAATTAATGTTTCACTTCTTTTTCTTTACCGTCTATATTATAAAAGGCCAGTGGCCGTAACGCCATAACAACCAAATGACCTGTCACCGGGAGGTGCATGGAGTACCTCTCAGTCGCCTCCCTCCTCCCCCCCCCCCCCCCCCCCCCCCCCCCCCCCGACCCGTGAGCCGCTTGCAGTAACGTGCAGGGCTCGCAGCTCACACAGCACAGTGGGACTCGAGGCTCACATGCACAGAGAGGTTTGTGAAGGGCTGGTGGGGCTCGCAGAAAGGCTTACACGGCGTGGCAGGGCTCACGTGGTGGTTCAAGACGGTGAGCTATTTGCACACGGTGGGTCTGGGTCTGGGTCTCTAGTCTATGTATATAAAAGCCTAACCAACCATTATAACCAGTCAACTGAACAACTGGTTGCTATGATGTGCACTGACCACCAGGGGGCAGACACTCAACACAGAAGTTGGTCAGTGCACTCCCACAGCCAACCTACTTCCCATGGTCCCTCCCCGCCACCGGCCGGCCAGCCCCAATCAGCCCTGATTGGATTGGGTGAGATGGTCCCGAGAGACCCCAATGGCCAACCAGGCTGAGGGACCCCACCCATGCACAAATTCGTGCCCCGGGCCTCTAGTATATACATAAAAAGGAATGTAATAAGCAACTTGCTTTGAATACAGTTAATAATAGTTGGGGTAGCTAGAATAAAAAATATATTTCTTCTGATGCTAAAATGAATCTTATGATTAAAAAAGAATAAGTCAGTAAGTGTATATCAATATTTTTTTAACTACATAGGAAAAGATCATGTCTAAAATGTAGTGAAGAAAATACCTAAACACCTACCTCATTGGTTACTTTAAAAGGTATTTTTAGTATTTGAGAAAAGAAAGTTAGTTTACAATGAAAGCCATAAGCATTTAAACTATATGCAAACATTAAGAGTGAAAAAAACACAAACAGAGATTCTTCTAAGCAATTTAAATAATACTTATTCCTTAAAATTGTTAAAAGGCTTTCAAATTGAGGGTTGGTAAAACCTGGGGAGTCCCCAGTATCCTTTCAGGGGACACACAAGCTCAAAGCTATTTTCATAATATTGCTATCATACTAAGTTTCCACTGTGTTGACATTTGCACTGAAGATTCCAATGCAAAGGTGGTTAAAACTGCTGGCTCCTCAGCATCCATTGGTTAGGTTGGTGAGAACAAATTATCCTTGTAACCACTGAATTCTTCACCGCCATGCACAAGTAGTTAGAAACTGGCCAGTTTCACTTAAGGACATGCTTGATAAAAAATAATAGCTTTTATTTAAATCTTGACTCAAGTGCAAATCTTTTAAATATTTGCTATGATGAAAGTAAAGTTTCGCTAAAGTGCTAAGGCAGCCAGTGAAGGTACAGGACTGCTGCAAGTTGAATTAGCTGCTTTTTTTGCAGATTAACAAAAACAACAAAACCCGCTACGAACTATGATGATTCACATTTGGATATTTGGTAGAACATAAATGAAGTGAACCTGTCACTTCAAGGGAAAGACTGACAGTACTTACAGCCAATGATAAGATGTTAACTTTCAAGCGAAAATTAGAATTGTAGAAAATTTGTATCAGCCATTATGATAGCTTCCCAATATCTAAGTTTTCTGGTAAGATCAGTGATGCTATCAACAAAGTTTTACGTGTGTGTGTGTGCGTGTGGGTAATGAGATGTGTCAACATTTGAAAAATCAGCATACTTCAGTGAAACAATATTTTCCAAAGTAACACATGAGTAAAAAACCCATTTTTAGTGCAAGACAGACCAGTAGATTTTCATGTAACAGAGCATGGAGAGTTCATTGACAAGGTTTCAGATTCCACACTGCAACTGACTTTTAAGAAGCTGTGCCTTGTTGATTTTAGAAGAGTGCCAAAGAAGAACATCCACAATTATCTGGAAAGGCTATAATACTATTTCTCCCTTTTCAGACTATGTATCTTTAAAAGGCTTCATATTCTTCAGATACTTCCACCAAAAGAATGTAACAGAATGCAGAAGCACATATGAGAATCCAGTTGTCTTCTATTAAGCCACACATCAAAGAGACTCAAAAATGTAAAATAATGCCACACTTATCACTTAATTTTATCGAAACTGAAATTGTTTCATTGAAAATGTGTTATTTATGTTAACATGTACTGGGCTTGTTATTTTTACTTAAAAAAATAAATTAACAATATATTTTAAATTGCTGTTTTAATTTCTAATTAATTTTGACAGATAAAACCCACAGGAACAAAAAGCTCTTTGGATCCTTAATAATTTTCAGGAGTGTAAAGGTATCATAGGTTGAAATGTTTCAGGACTCTATGGCTGAAATTATTATATCAACTAGAGGTCCACTTTATGAAATTCATGCATGGGGGGCGGAAGGTGTCCCTCAGCCCAGCCTGCACCTCTCCAATCTGGGACCTTTCTATCAGGATTGGGCCTAAACGGGCAGTCAGACATCCCTCTCACAATCCAGGACTGCTAGCTCCCAACTGCTCTTCTGCCTGCCTTCTTGATTGCCCCTAACCACTTCTGCCTGCCAGCCTGATCACTCTCTAACCACTCCCCTGCTAGCCTGATTAATGCCTAACTGCTCCCCTGCCAGCCTGTTTGCCCCTAACTGCCCTCCCCTGCATGCCACCCCCCACCCCCCCAACTGCTCTCCTCTGCAGGCCTGGGTCCCCCCCCAACTGTCCTTCCCTGAAGGCCCAGTCGCACCCAACTTCCATCCTCTGCCGGCCCGGTCACCCTTAATTGCCCTCCCCTGTTGGCCTGATTGCCCCCAACTGCCCTCTCTTGCAGGCCTGATCCCTCCTAACTGCCCTTCCCTGCTGGCCGTCTTACGGTGACCATCTTGTGTCCACATTTGGGGCAGTCATCTTTGACCACATTGAGGTAGCCATCTTGTGTGTTGGAGTGACGGTCAATTTGCATATTATTCCTTTATTATATAGAACTAGATAGGATAGAGGCCTGGTGCATGGGTGGGGGCCAGCTGGTTTGCCCTAAAGGGTGTTCTGGATCAGGGTGAGGGTTCCCTTGGGGTGTGGGATGGCCTTGGCGAGGAGCCTGTGGTGGCTTGCAGGCCAGCCATGCCCCCCAGCAACCCAAGAGGAGGCTCTGATATCTGTGACTTATTTATCTTCTATAATTGAAACTTTGAAGCCTTGATTCGAGCAAAGCTTCCTGCTCACTCCGTGGCCACAGCCATTTTTGTTGGGATTCATTTATCTTCTATAACTGAAACTTTGCAGCCTGGAGTGGCATGTGGAAAGCTTGGCTTCCTCCATCTCTGGAGAAAAATCAAGCTTCCTGCTCTCTCCAGCTCCATGGCTGCAGCCATTTTTGTTAGGATTTATTTATCTTCTATAATTGAAACTTTGTAACCTAGAGTGGAGGCCTGGGCCAGCCAGGGCAGGCAGAAAGCTTGGCTTGCTCCATCTCTGGGGGCAACTCAAGCCTCCTGCTCTCTCCAGCTCTGTGGCTGCCATCATTTTAGTTGGGATTTATTAATCTTCTATCATTGAAACTTTGTAGCGTTGAGTGGAGGCCTGGGTCTTCAAGGGCAGGCAGAAAGTTTGACTTCCTCCATTGCCGGGGAAACCCAAGCCACCTTCCTGCTCTCCATGGCTGCAGCCATCTTGGTTGGGTTTTTTTGCTCCTGATTGGCTTGTGGGCGTGGCTTGTGGGTATAGCGGAGGTACGATCAATTTCCATATTACTCTTTTATTAGATAGGATAAACTCTGTCATAAGGTAAATTGTAAGGTCAATCTGGAATTCCTTAATTCTCAACTAGAGTTTCCCCATTAATGAGGTTTTTTTATTATACTAGGCATGCCCCAGTTTACCTAATTCACAGTCTCTCACAAATAAGAAAATGAAAAAAGCTATTATCTTCTTTCTTCTCTTAAGACTTGAGATCAATTTCTTAACATTTTTACTGTTTAAAAACTATTGAGTACTTAATAAAATCTTCCATTACTAGGTTGTGCCAAACAAGTAAGGTATATGGACAGCATTAGAGGATCAGGAAGTGCTCAGAAATCCCAGGTAAACAAGTCCAAGATTAAGGTGTGATTCTCAGGTCTCATTAATCCTTACCAGCACAAGTGATACAAGTGTTCTATATCAACCTATCTAAATCTGAATTTGGATCATTAAAAGGAAAGAGAGGAGATCAGGAAAAAAAAAATCTATTCTGTTTCCTCACTGTTATTTTTCTCAAAGTGGGAAACTTACCTCTTTATCAGCCTTTATGAGGTAGTGAAGGAACAGAAATAGAGGGTCCATGGGAGTGACAAAATGGAGAAGACCTCCTATAGATTAAAAGGAGAACAAAGGAAATTAATGTCTGAAATGACAATTTAGTCATTTCTGCTTAATCCCAAAGTGGAAATGATTCATTGAAAACTATATGTGAAATTCCACATATAGAAGCTCTTCTTACACAGGCCCAAGATTGTACGAGTCTTTCAAAAGGCAGAATGTGGTCCATAAGATTTTACTCTAAAGACCTTCAAATTTCTGTGTGTAGATGAGACTCAAGACACTGAAATCAACCTTTAACGTTCCATTTCTCTTTCAAAATATTTTTTTAACAGGTCTTCCCCACTGCCCCCCAAAAAAGCAAAGGTTGGGGAAATATGAGTAGAATATGAACCATACAAATATAGGAAATCTATACAAGTCTATTTGTAAAGCTGCAGTAAAATGCAATTTCCTGTGCTTCTGAGGATAAAGCCGTGGGAAAGCAATATTCTCTCTGTACAGAGCTCCTTCTCTGGTCTGTGGGCTCACTGCTCTGCATTGTTAATGACTCAGCTCAGAAGGTTGTAACTCCCCCTCAGACACTATCCCATCCCTTTACCCCCAAAGAAAAAGGTAAGAGGACAGGAGCTTAACAAGACTGCACACAAGAAATTGAAAACTCAACAGTAAGATTAATGGTGCTCTCCAAGCCGAAAAGAAAAAGGCAAATCACACAAACTAGCATAATTACTCCTTGCTTGTCTTTCTTCTATCCCCAGCTCCTCTTCCACAGAAATGAATCAGAAGAGGAACTGCATCAAATGGAACAATAAACAATTCATTATCTTCATATTTATAATTTTGATTTTAGGAAACACACATATTTACTTCTATTCTCTAACAGAGCAATCTAACTATTCAGTTAAGAAATTCTAACCCTCAATTACATATATGAATCCATTTCATAGTAAGAAAAAAATTTAAGTAATTTCATATAATATTAGTTGACTATTTTTTTAAAGTAAAAGTTTATAAAAACAACATATCAGGTTCTCTAAGTTCATTTTATGAGCAGGTTTCTAGGTCTAAAACAATATCCTGGTGACCACTCTTAAAAACAGCTCTTTAAGGTTAAATTTGTAAAGAATACAATAATGAAAAAAGCAGGTCCTTTTGCTATGAACCTAAAACTACTAAACAAACAAACAGGTAACAACTCAGTCTAGGGGAGATGAGCAATATTTTCCAATTTCACCTAGATAGTTCTGTGTCTATCTAGCTAGACCCAACTGTCCATGAAGCTCACAGAGTAAACCCAAAAAGACCAACACCAAGGCACATTATAATGATATTGGCAAATAAGAATCTTAAAAGCATCCAAAGAGAGACAAAAAGTTATCTACAAAGGATTCCCCATTAGACCAGCAACTGATTTTTAAACAGAAACACATCAGAACAGAAGGGAATAGAATAAAATACACAAAGTCATGCAAAGGAAGGGACTGAATCCATGAATACTGTACCCAGCAAGGCTATCAATCAAAATTGAGGGAGAAATCATAAGCTTCACAGACAAAAAGAACTAAGGGAGTTTATTACCACAAAACCAACAATGCAAGAAATGCTAAAGGGTGTACTGTAAAAAGAAGAAGTAGGAAGCTAAGAAGGAATACATGGGGTAGAGAATAAAAATGGAGACAAGTACCTCTCAATAATAACTTTAAATGTAAATGGTTTAAATGCCCCCAATCAAAAGATGTAGGGTGGCTGACTGGATAAGAAAACATAAAGGGATAGTAAAGGTTTTTCAGGCAATGGAAATGAAAAGAAAGCTAGGGTAGCAATACTTATATCTGACAAATTAGATCTCAAAGTGAAGGCCATAACAAAAGGAAAAAAAAAAGGCCACTTTATAATGCTAAAGTGAGAAATTCAACAAGAAGATATAACTCTGGTAAACATGTATACACCCAACATAGGAGCACCCCAATACATAAAAAAAACTTCCAGAGGATATCAAGGGAGAGATAGACAGCAATACAGTCAAAGTAGGGGACTCTAATACTGCACTAACACCTCTGGACAAATCCTCTATACAAAAAAATCAGCAAATAAACATCAATCCTAAATGACTCATAAGATCAAATGTAATTGACATTTTCAGAACATTTCACCCCAAAGACACAGAATATACATTCTTCTCAAGTGCACTTGGGTCATTTTCAAAGTCAGACCATATATTGGGACACAGGCAAATACTCTTCAAATTTAAGAACAGAAATCATTTCAAGCACCTTCTCAGATCACAATGGTATAAAACTAAAAATCAACTACAATAAAAACAATAAAACATAAAACATCTGGAGGCTAAATACCATGCTATTAAACAATCACTGGGTTATCAAAGAAATCAAAGAAGAAATAAAAAATCATGGCAACAAATTACAATGAAAACACAACAATCCAAAATCTAGGGGACACAGTGAAAACAGTCTTGAGATGGAAGTTCATAGCTCTACAAGCCTACCTCAAAAAACAAGAAAAAAATGGTAATAAATTATCTATCCCTACAACTCAAAGGATTAGAGAGAACAACAAGAAAAGCCCAGTATAAGAAGGAATGAAATAATAAAGATCAGAGTGGAAATAAACGGCATATAGACAAAAAAACAAAACAAAACAAAACAAAAACAATACAAAAGATCAACAAAACCAAGAACTGTTTCTTTGAAAGGATATACAAGATTGATGAAACTCTAGCCAGGCTCACCAAGAAGCCAAGAGAGAGGACCCAAATAAACAAAATCAGAAATCAAAGAGGTGAAGTAAAAACCAATCCCACCAAAATAGAAACTATTATAAAAAAATACAATGAACAACTCTATTGCAACAAAATGGACAACCTAGATGAAATGGATATATTCTTAGAAAAATACAAACTCCCAAAACTCAACCAAGAAGAATAAAAAAAACCTGGATAGGCCAATAACTATCGAAGAAATTAAAACAGCGATCAAAAATCTTCCAGCAAACAAAGCCCTGGACAAGACGGTTTTACAGGAGCATTTTACCAAGCATTCAAAGAAGTACTAAAACCTATCATCCTTAGACTATTCCAAAAAGTTAAAAAGGAAGGCACACTTCCAAGCTCTTTCCATGAAGCCAGCATTATCCTAATCCCAAGACCAGATAAAGATACCACAAAAAAAGATACAGGCCAATATCTTTGAAAATAGATGCTAAAATCCTCAACAAAATTCTAGCAAATCAGATTCAGCAATACATTAGAAAGATCATACACCATGACCAAGTGGCATTTATTCCAGGGATGCAAGGATGGGACAATATTCTCAAATTAATAAATGTGATACATCACATAAAGAAAGTGAGACAAATATCACATAATCATATCAATTGATGCAGAAAAACCATTTGACAAAACCCAATACGCTTTTTTGAAAAGAATTCTCAACAAAGTGGGAATACAGGGATTATACCTCAAGATAATAAAACCCCTATATGGCAAACCTACAGCAAATATCATATTTCATGGGCCAAAACTAAGCTCATTTCCCTTAAAGAAGAGGAAGAAGACAAGGATGCCTACTTTCACCACTCCCATTCGACACAGTACTAGAAGTAACTTACCATAGCGATCACACAAGAACAAAAGGCATCCAAATTAGAAAAGAAGTAAAACTGTCCTTATTAACAAATGACATGATATTATACAGAGAAAACCCCAAATACTCCATCAAAAAAACTACTAGACCTAATAAATGAATTTGACAATGTAGCAGGATACAAAATTAACACCCAGAAATCTATGGCCTTTTTATATGCCAATAATGAACTCATAGTAATAGAAATGAAAAATGAAAAAAAAAATCCCATTTACCATTTCATCAAAAAATTAAGATACCTAGGAATACACTTAACTAAGGACCTAAAAGACCTGTACTCAGAAAACTATAGGACATTGAAAAAAGAGATAGAGGAAGACATAAACAAATGGAAGAACATACCATGTTTATGGATTGATAGAATCAACAGCATTAAAATATCCATACTACCTAAACTAAGGGTGTCGAACTCAATCAGAGAAGGGGCCAAAATCTAAAATCCAGCCTAAATCGCGGGCCGAATGGTTTACTGAACAGTCATAAACTGTCATTGTGATGGAAACGCAGCGGAGTGCAGTGATGACAGCGTGGTGCGGGCCACATTGCAAGGCCTGGCGGGACGGATTTGGCCCGCGGGCCTTGTGTTTGACACATGTGATACTAAACCAATCTATAGATTGAATGTTATACTCATTAAAATACCAATGCCATATTACACTGACCTAGAACAAACTCTCCAAAAATTCACCTGGAATTAAAAAAGTCCCCGAATAGCCATAGCTATCCTGAGAAAGAGGGACAAAGTTGGAGGGATCACAATATGAGAAATAAAGCTATATTAACAAGCCACAGTTCTCAAAACTGCCTGATACTGGTACAAAAACAGACATATACCAATGGAACAGAATAGAGAACCCAGACATTTACCCAAGTCATTATACTCAACTAATATTTGACAAAGGATGGAAAAGTATAAAATTGAGTCAAAACATTATCTTTAATAAATGGTGCTGGGAAATTTGGTCAGATACATGCAAAAAAATGAAACTAGATTACCAACTTACACCATACACAAAAACAAACTCAAAATGGCTAAAGGCCTTGAATGTAAGACAGGAAATCATAAAAATCCTACAAGACTCCAAACACAGCAAAATTGCAGACATATGTCGTAACAATATCTTTACAGACACAGATCCTAGTTCAAGAGAGACTAAGGAGAAAATAAACAAATGGGACTACATCAAAATAAAAAGCTTCTGCACAGCAAAAGAAACCATCAACAAAACAACAAGAAAGCCCACTGCATGGGAGAATATATTTGAAAATGTTTATCTCCAATAAGGGTTTAATTTCCAACATTTACAGGGAACTGATACAACTTAATAAAAGAAGAAAAACAATCAAAAAATGGGCAAAGGACCTAAATAGACACTTTTCATTAGAGGACATTCAGAAAGCCAAGAGACATATGAAAACATACTCAAGGTCACTAATCATCCTAGAAATGCAAATCAAAACAACCATGAGGTACCACCTCACACCTGACAGAATGGCTATCATCAACAAATCAACCGACAACAAGTGCTGGAGAGGATGCAGAGAAAAAGGAACCCTTGTGCACTGCTGGTGGGAATGCAGATTGGTGCAGCCATTATGGAAAACAGCATGGCGTTTACTCAAATATTTAAAAATGGAACTAATCAGATTCAGCAATACATTAGAAAGGTCATACATCATGACCAAGTGTATACACCATTTGACCCAGCAATACCACTTCTAGGAATATATCCCAAGAAAACAGAAACACCAATCAGAAACACCCCTATGTTCATAGCAGAACAATTTACAATAGCTAAGATTTGTAAACAGCCTAAATACCCATCAGCAGAACAGTGGATTAGAAAACTGTGGTACATATATACAATGGAATACTACGCTGCTATAAAAAATAAGGAATTCTTACCATTTGCAGCAGCATGGATGGAACTGGAGAGCATTATGCTCAGTGAAATAAGCCAGTCAAGTGAAAAAAAAAAAAATACCACATGATCTCACTCATTTATGGATAATAAAGAACATTATAACCTAATGAATAAAAAGATAGATAAAGAGGCAGAGAAGCATCAAACAGACTGTCAAATTACAGCGGGAAGGCTGGGGAAGGTTGGGGCGGTGGAGGTAAGAGATCAACTGAATTACTTGTATGCATGCATATAAGCATAACCAATGGATGCAAGACCCTGGGGGCTGGGGTGAGGGCATATGCCGGGGGATAGGGGAGGCCAGGGGAAGGTCAGTGGGGGGAAAAAGGATATATTGTATATGTACTACTATTTTTAATATTTTAAACAATAAGATAAAGTTAAAAAAAAAAAACCTCAAGAAAAAATATTTTAAAAAAACAACAACTTTGTTAGATTCTATTCTATTTTAGAAACTATATCAGTATCCATTTTCAAGAAAATAAGATGTTAAAAATTTGAAAAGCCACAAATGTGGCTGAGAAGAGCAAAGAGTTTCTGGTCAAGATAATGTGAACTCCATGGTACAAAGGTCACCTATCTTCTGAAAAGATGTCTGTGTTTAAATTCGTTGGGTCAAAATTCCCTACCACTTAAATACATAGGTATTGAAATAACTTGCTCAAATTATCTTTCCTTTCTCCTTGATTAAACCCTGCTCTGATGCCAAGGAAGAAAACAACCCCTGACCAGCCTCCAAACCAGGAGGACAGACTTGTTCGCCTGTGAAGAATGGAAAAGCTAAAGTATATTGTTTACTTAATGGAAATATATACACTAGTCACTTACCTGATTGAACTGATTGATTTATAAACCAAGAATGGTGTTTTTCCTTGAAAACTTTTATTTCAAACAGTTGCTGTAGACACATATCGAATAAGTAAAGGGCTCCTTCCCCTGTTAAGACAAATGTTTTTTATTTCCACGTATTCACACACACACACACACACATACACAAAATCAAGACTATGCAATTGTTCTGAGAAATGTTCCCAATATAAACATACATAGACATATATTCTATACAAACTGTCTCCAAGGAAAGCTTACACTATTATATACAAACTAGTGGCCCAGTGCAAGAAATTCATGCACATTAAAAGGGGATTAATTAGAGGAAATATTTTAATATTGCTATTTGCCCTTTCTCTATAATAGAAGTGTCAGAGATGAAAGAAAACTAGTAAAATGTATATGAAAATCTTCCTCCTGTTAGACTCTAGGGCGCACCTCAAAATCACGCTATACCCAAATTCAGCCAGCCCCACACCATTAAGTGAGATCCAGACCTGGCCAGTCTCACCCTTGTCAAGCCCCGCCGGGCAGGGAGCACAATCTCAGGTCCCCCATCAAACCCTGTCCGGTAGGGGGTGCAGCCTGAGGTTCTCTGTCAAGGCCCACTGGGTAAGGGGCGCAGACTCAGGTCCCCTGTTCTAGCCCAGCACTATGCAGCTTTAGGTCCCTGCTGATTTCTCGTTAAGGCTCCTTAGGGGAACTCGGCCTCTACTGTAGGCGCTGACATGATTTTGATGGCGTGATGGTCAATTTACATATTCCCTCTTTATTAAATAGCATGCTTGTTTTTTAGCCTTATTATCCTCATTGAACTTAAACAAATCCTATATAATAAAAGGCTAATGTGCAAATTGACTGGTAAAACAAATCCTATATAATAAAAGGCTAATACGCAAATTGACTGAATGGCAGAACGACCAGTCGCTATGCTGCATACTAACCACCAGGGGGCAGACACTCAACACAGAAACTGCCCCCTGGGCTCACTGCTGGCGAGAGTAACAGCACTAAGGATGTCTAACTGACTGTTTAGGCCCGCTTCTATCTCAGCTGGCTGACGGACATCCCCGAGGGCTCCTCCTGGACTCTGAGAGGGCACAGGCCAGGCTGAGGGACACCCCTCCCCTGAAAGCACAAATTTCGTGAACCAGGCCTCTAGTAAATAATAAAAGGCAAATTATTTATCTTAAACTGTTACACAGTCTCTTACTGAATCTTCCATCAGACCAGGAAGAAAAACCCATTCTCAAACTACCCAAATCTAATGGTTCAAGCACATGAACTGAACTGACACATTGGTCCCAGACTCCAGGGCAGCATGTGTCTTATCACACACAGGGACCAAGAGAGGGACTGAGCCTGCCGACCCTGAAGGCAGCTCTAAGTGAGAAAAGCAAAGGCCCTTTAATTCATGAAATTTTTTTCCTAAACACAGAAAAATCAAGGACTTTGAATCTATCTCTGTCACATGCTGGGCCTGTGTCCTGCACCACTGTTTCCATATCGGTTAAATGGGAGCAACAGTGAACCTACCTCACAGGGTTTTTTATGAGAATTGAAAAGGTAATACATGCAAAGTTCTTAAAACAGTACAGTACTTAGCACAGAATAAATGCTCAACAAGTCTTAGCCTTTACTTTTTCCCTAGTCAATGCAGCAAATACAAACATTTGTTCAAATGTCTATTGTCTATGGACATTTATACAACAAAAGAAATTTTACAAGAAGCCTGACATTTCTGAACCTTTACTTTTATTAAATGCTTTAGAACTTTTGCTACTATCTAAAACGTCCCTTGAAAAAAAGATTTCTCACCTCAACTTATGCATAGAGGACAAATTATATTCAATTTCATTTTGAGAAGAAAAGAAAACTGAAGGAAGCCAGAAATTTTTTTCTTGTTGCTTCTACCTTATACTTTTCCTAACAACAATAACAATAGCAAAGTACTACCCACTGGTTTTCCCTTTCTTTTACTTTTGTATTCAGTACTAGAGGCCCAGTGCATAAAATTCATGCATGAAGATGGGTTCCTCAGCCCCACCTGCACCCTCTCCAATCTGGGGCATCCCTCTCACAATCTGGGACAACTGGCTTCTAACCACTTGCCTGCCTACCTGCCTGATTGCCCCTAACCCCTTTGCTTGCCTTCCTGATCACCCCTAACTGCCTTTGCCTGCCTGTCTGATCGCCCCTAACTGCCCTTCCCTGCCAGTCTGATCTCGCCCCTAACTGCTCTCCCCTGCAGGCCTGATCTTGCCTCCAAGTGCCCTCCCCTGCCAGCCTGATTGCCCCTGACTGCTTCTGCCTTGCCGCCCACCACCATAGCTTTGTCTGGAAGGAAGTCAGACATCTGGAAGACGGACAGTCGACCCAGTCTAATGAGCATATTACTACCCTTTTATTGGTATAGATATAGAGGATAGGATTGCTTAAATGGGAGGAAAAGCCTTTTTCAGCAGGAGGAGATGCTCTTGGCAGACAAATACATAATTCCTATATCTGGACTGATAAGCCAGCCATATGCACTATACTGTCAAACCAGTCATTAAAAAAATAGAATTACTTTCTTACTCCTTACACCAAACAGCTGTTGCCCTTAAAACCACTCCTCAGCCCCCACCTTAGGTTCTGCCTTTGCAGTTCACCCAGATTTGGTTCTGATTGGTCAGTTTCCATGCTAGTCAACGTCAAAAGCTTCACCTCCTAGGCAGCCATTGGCTCCTCGCTATTCACCCAGATTTGGTTCTGATTGGTAGGTTTCTATGCCAGTCAGCATCTCCAGGCCTATCTCCGGGCTTGATCACAGAGGCAGGGCTGATCAGCAGCTGCCCCAGGCTGCTGGCCAGCGGGCTGAACTGCTGACCTCTGAGAGAGAGATAGAGACTTGGTTGCTGGCAAGGCCAAGAGAAATAAGCAGAGTATGATCACCTGCTTCTCTCTCCAGCCTCGCCAGCAAGTACTGGTATTGCTGATCAGCCCCGCCTCTCTCTCCCTCTCTGAGAAGTGAGCATGTGCAGCCTGGTATTTGATCCAGGCTGCTGGTGAGAGGACTGAACTGTTGACTCTGGGAGAGAGAGATAGGCTTGGCTGCTGGTGAGGCCCGGAGAGAGGAGTAGGGTCTGATCACCCTGCCTCTCTTTCTGGGCCTTGCCAGCAGCCACTGCCACTGCTGACAGCACCACTTTCTCTCTCCTCTCTCTCTCTCTCTCTCTCTCTCTCTCTCTCTCTCTCTCTCTCTCTCTCTCTCTCCCCCCCTCTCTCTCTCTCTCCCCTCCCCCTCTTGACCCCCCCAACCCCCAGCGGACTGAGCATAGCAGTTCAGCCCGCTCGTCTGCTGTGAGCAGCCTGGCTTTCAGTCAAGCCTCTGGTCGTTGTGGATGTTACGACCCTGGCTTTTTATAATATAGATCAGTGTTTCCCAAAGTGTGGTACAAGTACCCTCAGGGGTACAGGAAGAGTTTGGTGGGGGTACGCGTTGCACTGGAGTTTGGTGGGGATATGCACTGCACGTGCTTAGCTGCGCCTAATTCTATGTTCTCATGAGTATGAGGGATACTCAGCGTTACAAAAATTATAGAGGAAACACTGGTATAGATTATAGTTACTAGGAGAATCCTTTGATTTACTAAGTATCAGGCATCTACTCAAACATTATAAAATTAACAATAACTTTTTAATGTAAATCTTATATAAAAATTCCATATAGAGATAAATAACATGGTCAATTTTACTGCATATCTATTATATAGTTTAATATTTTTGCCTAAATATTTTAAGATAAAATAGAAAATACACTGACTATAGTTAAAATAAAATTATTTCTGATAAAATATGTATCTCTATAATACACAATGGTTTTGCTACCAAAAAACCAACCTTTGACAGGAAAAAAAAAAATACTATTTTCTGGTCAGAACCAAATAAAGAATGTACAGCTAAAACTGAAACACTCATAATCTTGGCATTTCAGATAAAAGCCTTTTTTTAACCCCTATATATTTTATTGAATAGGAGGCTAACTACTCTAAGAAAAGCTGGCTTAGGTAAGCCAAAGAAAATTAACCTGTTTTCAGAAAGAAATCAAATATGTTACTATGTTTTGCCATCATTTCTGATAAACAGGTCTATGGATTAAAATTATAAGGATAAATAAAAAATGTTTAGGTCCAGTGAATCATCTAGAGAAGACTGATAATGTCAACAGCTTACTTTGGTCACCAGGTAATGCCATTTTACATTAAAAAGCTATTCAGTTAGAACCAAATACAAAGGCAAATAAGTACATACATTTTTTAGCCACAATGTAAAAAAAAAAAAAATTCAAGTTACTATTAATGCAGGGAAGGGAAAGGGAGCTTACCTGAACATGGGTTAACCAATTTTACAAACACAAGCCCACTTTTCATCTTCTTGGAGGCATCTTTTAAATATTCTGAAAAGAAATGGTGAATCTGTAAAATTAAGATATTTGCTTTTTGTTCTTCTAATTTACTTCACCCTGATTTTGTTTCTTCTATTTATATGATTTTTCTTTCTATTATTTATAACTCAATTCTATTGCTTAGGAGCAATTACTTATTTATTTGTATTTAGTAATACTGCCTTATCTTCCTTTTAAGAATTGTCCTCTCAGCAGCTGATATGTTAAACAATTGCCACTGATTTTTTTTGGCAAATGCCCTAGGGACAGGGCTTTTTCTGCAGAGCAAATTCTGAGCTCCAAGGAGGGCCAAATGATAGCACTGTCCTGTAAATGGGGCTTTTCCAGTGAGCTGTGAGACGGGTCAAACAGGGACATGAGCTGAGAATGGGACTTTTTTTGAAGAGTTCCAAGCAAGGCCTGCCCCATCCAGTGGTTGCAAGGCAGCTGGTTTTTACAAGTAATACCATGTTTTCAAAGCTGCTGGTTTTCAAGGCTACTGCAGACCTGAGTAAGTTCAAGTTATATGCCACAAATCCTGTTTAACGAGATTCAGCAGTTTTTCTTGAATAAATACTCCTATTATTGGAGGAAGCAATATCAAGAGTCTGAAAAAGTTGATTTTGGCCATCTTTGTCAATGTTTTCATTACTTTTATGAACTTAACCCTACCAGATTTTGAATGCTTAGTATAAAAAAGAACTCAGATTGCTATAATACTTCTGATACACTTCTTGGTCTATACCTGGCCTTAGACACACAAAATTACCTATGACTATAAATTAAAGGCTCTATGAAAGAGCTTTTAATTTTCATTTAAATTTGAGAAATCCTGGGTCACCCCTCCAGACTTGGAAGCTCCGTCTTTTTTCTAACTTTTACCTGCATTAATTAGGAAAGAAAAAAATCTGCTTTTAGAATAATGAGAGAGAATGGAAGTGTAGAAGGAAGGGGCCTCCTCTGTAAGTTTACTTTGAGCTGATGCCTGTTTCTTTGATAATATCAGCATAGGAAGTACACAAGATCTAGAACCAGACAGATGCACAATCTAATCCCTGCTTTCCTCCTTACTCAGCAGATTCCAACCTTTCCGTGCCTCAGTCGTTTCATTTATAAAATGGACATAACAATAATTATTGTATAGGCTTTTGTTAGGCCCACTTCCAGAAATATTAATTTCAGTCTATGCCTCCTCTTCCTAAGATGTTCGCACTGCCACATGGCCTGAGTCATTTTCCTGACTTTGAAGCTCTCAACTTTCTCAAACATGACAAGAGGCAAACCAAGAAAGCTAGAGAAAGGCACAAACTAGAATAATAATTCCCAAGTAATTGGTTCATCTAAGAATATCTTTTTATTCTGAAGCTTTGAAGAAAAAATAAAAACTGACCTTAACCAAGACCATAGAAGATAAAATCTCCATTCTTCCAGGGCTGTCCCTATCAATAGATCAACAGCCTTGTTTCTAGGAATGCCTTATACTGGGGTAGGGAACGTCTGAGGGACAGTTAAGGCCCACAAAATCATTTGGTCTGCCCCTGCCAAGGCATTAAGGGTAAGTTAATTAGATGTTTGACAATATGCAGCAGGCTAATTTCTAAGTTGATCATTCTGTATGGCCCATGAATGATGTTATAAATATCCAAACAGTCCTTGGCAGAAAAAAGGTTTCCCTCCCCTGCCCTATACAGTCAGAAAAATGAGCTGATGAAAAACTTCAGGTTTGCAGCCAACTCAGAGCCACAAAGACCAGCAATATATAGAGATGTCACGAAGGCCTTGAAATATCTGGGAAGCAGGAAAATTCTGAACAGGTAGAAAGGACGGACCTGCCCTTTCTAAACTTCCCTCCTCTCCAACAGTGGCAACGACCACCTTCCATTCTGCAGAGTGGTCTTTGGCACATAGGAGTTCAGGAGGACACAGAAGAGCCAACAGCCTATGCCAATAATTCCTATTGATGTTGGACAGATGGTTTGACTTCTGCGAGTCTTGTAGAATGGAGACAATGAAGTCTGCCTTGATAACTTCCCAAGGTCAAATACAATAACTTACACCCAAGCGCATTGTAAGAGTATAAGAGCTAGAGGATGGGCTTCCTAAAACTTACATAAACCCTGGCTAAATGAGTATGAATTACAACCAAAATAAAATTCTCCCTACAAATAAATCTCTTCCATAACTGTATGTCACCCAAAGAAATCACCAATAACTGAGAAACTCAGAATGCTGGATGGAAACAGGCCTGGTCGTAAGTGGCTCAAGCTTTTGACCAGAGCTCAGTCACACCGGTAACTAACGGAGGGCAGTGGCTGTCTGTTGTGCTGTCTACTCCACTCTCCCAGGAAAGCACTCTCTACTCTTGCGTAGGTCTTCTGCCCGCTCTCCCACCTTGTGCTTGCAGTGGAGTCTGCTCCTCCCTGGATACGGGTAATGGGGTACAGGGTGCAGAAGGCTGTTTTAAAAAGGTTAAAACTAGATTAAAAGAAGAGGGGCAGCTTCTCCCAGCAGACACCAGGAGATTTGAAGCGTGGTGCAGTGTGCAACCAGGTTCCCACTAAACAGAGGAAGTTCGTGTTAATGCTCAGAGAGGCAAAACCCTGGGCCTGGTGCTGCAACACCTGAGTTCCAGATGTCTCTCCAACACCCACCCCCCAAACCCTGCCCCAACACACAGCTGGCTCTTCAAGGAATATGTTGATCCCACTGTGGAACTCCTAACAAAGTGTTAAGTCAGGTTTTGTAACACAGTCAGGACTCACTGGCCACATATTAGAGAAACACTATACAGACTCATGGTGAATTCAAACTGGCATCGTATTTATTCCAAGGGCTGTCTGCAGGAAGCCATGGTTGTCCTAAATAAATTTAACCTCAAATGCCTTTCAAAACACTCTAGCTTGCCATGTGTCCACTATGGCTCTGTGAATTTATCTTTCCCTGTTTTGCATCTATTTGTATTTTTAGTCTCAACCCACTCTTAAAAATAACCCATACTAAATATGTAGTCTACTCTGTGAAAGCAATGCTTATGTGGTATATTTGTTACAATATAAATAAATTCATAATATGCCTTTTGAATGCAAAAAGTATGACCTACAAATCTTTCTCAACTTTGTTAATATTGGCTATGTGAATTTCTATCTTTCCTAAAATTAAGAGAAAAAATATCTCAGTCCTTTACCTCTCCATTAAATCAACTTAAATGTAATTCTCTAATTCCATGATTAGATACAGCAAATAAAACTATATAACACTCTGGTAAAACCCCAATACCCCTGAGAATTTTAGTGAGTGTTATAGTAAATAAGTAGAAAGAGTAAATAGTGAAACGGAGGCAGAAATACAAATATCCAAAAAGAAAAATTAAGAACATGTAATTCCTTCTGTGATACATACAACATAAAAAGATTAGAAAAATATATTTCCAAATTGTTATTTCTAGGTGGTAAAATGATGGACAAATTCTTTCATATATATATGTGTGTGTATGTGTGTGTGTGTATAGCATTACTAAAATTTCTTTACTGAGTATTGCTATTCTAATAAAAATTTAATAAAAATATATGGGAGAAAATGTGTAAATGAAGAGACAACTAGTCAAACCTGAGCAACTGATCAAGGCAAAGTTTCACCAAACATTGCTAGGACTTTAGGCCCCTGCAGGGAAATCAGCTCTGGCCAGAGACCTCAGCCGGCCTGGGTCCTCCTTGTTTCAGAGGCAGATAACAGAACAGGCATCAGGTCTGACCCTTTTACCAGGTAGAATGGGCTACTTTAGCAGACAGAAACCTAGAAAAGAAAGTCACTTTTAAAGGTATTTTAAAATCAAATATAAAGGATCTCGGAACAAAAAGGCTGAGAGTCCCAAGGAGCATGCTCTAGTTTCAGAGGCACTGAGCAATTTGGGGCTCTGAAGCTTAAGGCCAAGGCTCCACCACTAAGAAGCTAAAATGGCTACTCAGGGAGAATAGACCTGGGTTCTCCCCAACCACTGGCATGTATTGGGCATTCAATACATATTTATACAAAAATGGCACAGTGAATTGAGTAATCAGGAGGAAGTGTATATAGGTGACTGCAGAGGTACCATGAACTTGCACACTAACAGGAAAGGCCAAGAGGGCAGGCTTCCTGGAAGAGGTGACATTTGCATTTGCTTACCAGTAAAGAATAAACAGGCATTTGGCAGGTAGAGAACACAAAGAGAGTTGGCAGGTAGGGGACAAGTAGACACAAAGTCAAGGATATTAAAAGACAAAGAAGTTGGGTTGGGGCAAATGGATTATCTTCACAGGAACTAAAGATGAAGCAAGCCTTGGAGAAAGAGTAGAATTTGGATAGAAGTGAAAGGAGAAAAAGGACAGTGTAAGCAAAGAACACTGCAGGAAGAAATTAAATGTGAGGCATTTATTCTTTCAATAAATGTTTATTAAATGCCTACTCTGTCCCAGACCTCAGGCTAAGAACTTGGGGCACAAAAAAAGAGCTTCTGTGAAACTCAAACCAACAGCTAGCAAACCCATGAGATTGGTACTGTTCTCCCCAATGTAGAGATGAGGAAATTGAGGCTTGCCACTGAGAACACAATTTCTCCAAGAACATAACTAGTCAATAGCAAAATCTAGTTTTAGGTGTGTGTTTTTATAGTCAGGCTTTAAAGAACACTGGTGAGTTGTTTGTTTCTTAGGAAAACCCATGTAGCTCCCATTCTGCTTTTCAAATGAAAAACTGTGAACGTTGCTTACTTTGCTTTTATGATTTCTCTTCTGCCCTGGAGGATAAACATGCGGGACTCACAAGTTCTTATAAAACGTACTTGGAGTTGGTCCGAAGGTTGTGGGTTATTGTTAAGCTGATTAACATAAAATGTACTTGGTCATTGGAACAATTTCTAGCAGGGCAAGATCAGGCTCCGGAAACAGCCTAATTACACCAGCTGGCAAACACTTAAGGCCATCCACTCCAGGACGTGCTCAAATACAAGGGGAGCAGATCCAATGGCCATATGAGAGAGGTCAGTCTGGTTCCCACCAAAAAACTTTTCATAAAGGCAAAGCCAGGCTCAGTATTTGTGCGGAAAATATCACATATGCTCCATGCTAGAAAACTCAGAGACTCCCACTGCTGAAGGCCTACAGACCACTATTCAGTAAATGTCATATTTTCCCAGAAGCTGAGCTTAATTATTCAGAGGTTGTCTAAAATCAGCACTTGTACTGGCCAGATCTCCCCACGCCTCCCTATCTCCTCTTCCCACCTCCCCCCAAGGCTAGCCAAACTAAGTGCAGGTTCCTCTCTGAGAATAAGCTCTTCTGAAAGTAAGGAAACTTTCAGCCCACAAGGTGTATTTCTAAACACAGACATACCTGCAAACAGTTTGACAAAGAACAAAAAACCTGCTTAAATATTCTTTGAGACTAACCATGTGCACTTAAGGAGGGAAAATGCGTTTTTTGTGTTTTGTTTGTTTGAGGGTCACTGAAAAGTCATTTAGGTATATAGTAATTATTCTTTCAACACATATTTTTACTTTTTATCAAACAAGAGGTATTCTTGGGGGCTTATTACAAAGCTATATGTCCTAGCTGGGTTGATCGGTGGTTAGAACATCAGCCTGAAGAGTCAAGGGTTCGTTTCCCAGTCAAGGGCATGATGCAAATTCAATCCCCGATGGGAGCACGTGAGGGAGACTACCAATGCACGTGTCTCGTTCATATCTGTGCTCTCTCTCGCGTGCGCTCGCGCTCTCTCTCTCTCTCTCTCTCTCTCTCTCCTTTTCCCTCCTTTCCACTCTCTCTAAAAATCAATGGAAAAATATCCTTGGGTGAGGATTTTAAAAATAAACACCACAAACTATAAGACTCTAATCAGTAATAGCACTGAAATGAATTTTCTCCATCTTTAAACAGAAAAATGTTTTTTTTTCTTTTAAAGTTTATTTCTCTTTAAGTTTTAAATTAAGAACATAGTTCTAAGGTTTCATTCACACAATGCTTTCAAACCTATCTTTGCATTCCTCTGGAGAGGCCTGTCATTGTTTGTGATTGTTGTGGTGCCTCACATGACAGACTCCTTATTACACTTGGAGTGTCTAAGGTAGGCGAGCAAGCTGGGAATTCTTATCTACACCCCACCTGCCCCCTGCCCCTCTCCCCCCCCACCAAAAAAAAAACACACAAAAAACTGGCATTACTTATGATGGCTGTGAGGAAATAATATTACTCTTCCCAGAATGCTTTTTAACACATATATGCAGGAAATACAGTAAAGGGGAATTACTTTATTGTAAAACTTGTCTGTGGTTGATGTCCAGTTTAATCAGAGGGCTGGTTAAAGGATCTTTTCAGCTGAAGTAGACCCGAATGAGTTTCTTAACTGGTCCTGACATCATTTCTGTCCTTGCTTTACCCCCTCACATTAGGGCTTCTCAATGCTTTACCATTTCCTTGGAGATGGCTAAGTAACAGGGTTCAGACACATTAACATCAACACAGTCTTCTATCCCACACTTAGTGATCTGCTCCCAGCTGGCCTTCCACACTAGAATCCACTCAAATTTAAAAGAACTGACAAGCGTACAAAACTTGGACTCAAGAGAAATATTTAAAATATTTGCTATATTCCAAAAAGTAGAGATGTTAACAGTCTTTCATAGTAACTGAAACAGCAAATACCTACACTAGTTTGAGAAATGTTTAAGATCATCTTAAACTACAAGAAATGCTTACTCTGCTAAGAAGGAAGGCAATTCAGTCTTCACCGGCCTACGAAAATCAAGACTCCAAGTCTGATTACCTCCCAAGTATCCCTCCTAAGTTCCAGCTTTTTTTTTTTTTTTTTTTTTTTTTTTTTTTTTTGCTGGTGGGGGAGGGAGGAAAGAATAATTTACTTCTTCAGGAAAATGAGAGGCAAAGATACCTAAATAGTACTTCTGCATTTACCCTCCAACATGTAACACAATACTATGGTAGGCAACTCGATAAATAAAGTAAATTAAGTGTTGGGGGGGAAAGAGGCATCTCAGTTTTGGTGCCTGTACATTTGTCTCGTGGACAGATCTCTAAAGTTCTGTTGGTCTGATGATTAATTTGCTCACTTTTCAGTATGTAGAGTAAGTGCTTCAAATTCTTCTGCCAGAAGTTTTCTAAAACTTAGTACAGACTGCTTCCATCAAATACTTTTGAAAATTTTCATACAATCTTCGTTTCTTTAATGAAGGGCCCAACTTTACTGTAGCTATGGCCCTCACTCAGACAAGGGTACAGCCTCCTCCTTTCAAATGCATAACTTACTGGAGCTGATTTCCTAACCAATACCAGGACATGGCATACCCTGTGCTTACATGCACTGCCCTGACCATGCACATTCTGGCCCACTCTAACCAGAGAAACCTCAAGATGGCCATTCCTCTCCCCAAATCCAGCTCTCCAGGGCTGGTCTCACTGCCCAGCAGCATCCCGTGGGAACCTGTTAGACATGCACACTGTCAGGCCATTCCAGACCCACTGAATCAGTAGCTCACCTGTGAGACACCCTCCGGTTTGAGCAGCACTGTGGCACTGCGGTCATTACAAGCACCAGTGTCCATGCCCTCAGAGCCTGCAGGTGGCACTACAGGCCGGCTAGAAGAATTACATCGGCAGGAAGCTGAAGCTGTGTTACAAAACCTGCTGGTCTGACAGTTCCTTCTATCAGTTCCTGAACAACTGCCTCCGCCTCCTCCAGTGAGTTTAGTTTTGAACAGGAACAGGACTGAAATTATTCTCACAGCCCCAGCAGTAGACATACTAATTTTTCTGAAGGTCTTGTGTTTAATATAATGAAGATACAAACAGACTTTAAGAATGAATGTCAATACTGATTAAACAGAAAATAAGAAACGTAAATTATCCTCAGCCATTGTGTCTCTGAATAAAAATAATGCATTTGATTTGAAACATCTCATTGAATTGATGCAACAAAAGTGAGAAGAGCCCTAACCAGTTTGTCTCAGTGGATAGAGCATTGGACTCAAGGGTCCCAGGTTCGATTCCGGTCCAGGGCCATGTACCTTGGTTGTGGGCACATCCCCAGTGGGAGGTGTGCAGGAGGCAGCTGATCGGTGTTTCTCTCTCATCAATGTTTCTAACTCTCCCTCTCCCTTCCTCTCTGTAAAAAATCAATAAAATATATTTTTTTAAAAAGTGAGAAGAGGATTTTTTCCAATGTGAAGCAGTGTATAGGTAGCCCTTCATTAGACTCTGTCAAAACCTGAATTTTGCATTAACTGCTTTACTGCACAAGCATCTCTATGAGGATGTGGAGTAACAGGAACTCTGACACACCGCTGGTCGTAATATAAGTAGTACAACCACTTTGGAAAACTGTTCAGCAGCAGCCACCAAAACTGAACATACAGATACCTAAGATAAGCGATTCCACTCCCAGGTCTTGCACCCTACAGAAACAAATTCCTCTCTGTCCCAGAAGTGTAATTCACAATAGTTACCCACTGGAAATCCAAACGTCCATCAACAGTAAAGGAGATAAATATTATGGATATTTATGCAATAAAATATACCCAGAAATGAAAACACAAATCAACCAACAACTGCTACACCCAGTATGAATGAATCTTCCAGGCATCATGCTGAGTGAAAGCAGCCAGATACGGAGGAGTGCACGCTGACCTCAGCAGGTGACATGAACCTCTGGTGACAGAGGTCAGCAGAGCGGTTCCTGGGCTATCTACCAGCAGACACGGGGAGCTCACTGAACAAGTTCTACATCACGACCTGGAGGACGGTTACAGGGTTACATATGCAAACCTCATTGAGTTGCACACTTAAATATGTAGGTTTTACTGTATGCTATGCCGTTAGACGCACAAAATTACTTACAAACTGACATGTGACACTTTTCAATATCCACCATAAAACCTACATGACTGGACAACTATATCGTCATTAGCAATTACTTTAAAGCATTTGCTGAGCTAAAACTCAAACAACGTATTTTCCTTTATTTTCTATGTTAGGCCATCATATCAATATAGTCTAAAAGGCGCCAAACTTTTCTGGCTTTCACTCCCTAGTCCCAAACTCCTTTTATTCCGCCAATTAACGGGGCCCATCACCTGCGGAAACTGAGGGCCCTCCCCAGCCCCTGCAGGCCCGGTGGCCAGTGGTCAGGGCGGGTGAGGTGGGCTGGCTCCTGCCTGCACCCCCCCACCGGAACCTCTCCACCCCGGCCTGGCCCCTCCCCATCGGCTTCTCTCCTCTCACCGTCCGGGTCTGTGCTGGGACCGGCCGCCCAGACCCTGGCTGCCGGCCCGGGGGGAGCCCAGCCGTGGGGCCCGCTGCCCGGGGGGGGGGGGGGGGCACCAGCTTACACCCCGAGGGCAGGACGCCCCCCCCCCCCGGCGGGCGCGCAGCAAACCCCGGCAGCCGCCCCGCGCCGCTCCCCGCAGGCCCACGCGCCCGCCCCCTGCGGCCCATGGACCCCCCCCCCCCCCAATGAGGACCGGCTGGGGGCGGGGGGAGGGAAGATTAGCGGGGAGGGGGTCCGGTTGGCGCTTCCGGGTCTGGTTTGAAAACCGAGCTGGCTGTGCTACGCTGTGTTCCGGGAGACGATCGGGTCTGCACGCGGCCCGGAGACGGGGCGCGCACCGTGGGTCCCGCGGGGCGGCGGGAGGGGGGGAGCCGCGGCGGCCGCTCCGCTCCGGCCGGGCTGGAGGCCTGGCTGCCCCCGGAGGCGGCCGGTTACCTGGAAGCAGGAACACGTGCTCGCGGGCGCGGCCGCCGTCCCCGCGCTCCCCGCGGCGCGCCATGAGCCGTCTCCTCCCGCGGGGCCTGGGGCGGCGGGAATGGCGGGAGGGGCTGGTTCCGGGGGCGCGGCGCACAGGCCTGGCGGGCCCCGGAGGCGGCCGGGGGGCGAGTTTGGCTTCGTTTCCGGGGCCGGCCGCCGTCACCGAAACTTTTCAAACTCGGGTAGGTGCCCAGCTCAGGCGCCGGAACGCTGCGCCCGCGCCGCTCCGGGACGGGACGCGACGCGGGAGCGCGCGGGGCCGCCGCGGTCCGGGCCCAGGGGCCCTCCCAGCTGGTAGCGCGGCCGGAGGACCCACCGCGCGGGAGCGGGCGGGGCGGCTGGGAAGGGACGGGGCCCCGCGCCCTGATGCCCTCCACCCCGGAGCTGGAGCTCTGGCCGGGAGAAATTGTGGGGAGCAAGTTCCTGTCAGGGACAACAGCAGGCACCTCGGAATCCTCTGTGCTCTTGGTTGTCAGTGTGCCTGGATCGTCTGTTGCATTCTGCATAGGAATTCATGTCAAAAGAGTGTGTGCTTCAAATCGGAGTCCTCATCACTAAAAAGAGGTTTCACAATGTGAGGCTCATAGTATGAACTTGTCATTTGGGGCGGCTTTGTAATGAGTTAAAAGTTAAGACATTTTAAAAAGCAATGTTTAAAAAGTCAGGGTCATGAAATTGGGGAACTTAAGCTTTTAAAAAAAAGTTTAATTGAAAAGGTGATGCTTGATGTAACATGGTTTTAAAAAGACTAATAGCAATTTCTCTCATACGTTAAAGTAGGGGTGTCGAACTCAATCAGAGAAGGGGCCAAAATCTAAAATCCAGCCTAAATCGTGGGCCGAATGGTTTACTGAACAGTCATAAACTGTCATTGTGATGGAAACGCAGCGTGCGGGCCACATTGCAAGGCCTGGCGGGACGGATTTGGCCCGCGGGCCTTGTATTTGACAAGTGCGTTAAAGGAAAGTATGTCTCCCTCCTACCCCAGATCCCTAAACCCACCGCCCGGGGCAATTACTGTTTACAACTTCTTGTCTATTCTTGCAGCAATTTTCCATTCACTTACAAATTCTTATCTTGCTTTTTTGCACAAATGGCAGAATACTATATGTAATTCTGTGCACTTAAATTTGACAACACTGGATCTGTCTCAGCCTTCTGAAAGGACTTTTTATTTTTAATCCTGTTTCCCATGGGAGGAGACAGCTGAAGTTCCGTGCAGGACACGGGTGGTAGAGATGAAGACTTTCCGGCTGAGGAGGAGCAAAGAAATGCCAAGTCTGGGGCAGGCCGAGATTAATCTTACTCTGACCTCTTCTGTCCACTAAGATTGACCTCTAGTGTATATAGGTCAACTGCCCAGACACACCATAATCATGACTAACAGCTACAAGAGACATGTTACACACAGTTCCAGTGTTCCGACAACGAGCTGTTTTTATTTCCTGTGCTCCTTTCTAGCCATTGGCTGAATAAACATATATTTTTACAAGTGTGTGGTTGTTTTCACAGGATAAATACAATTCTGTTTGCTTTTCTCCCTTTACATTGTCATAAAACATACCCTATAGCATCCAGAACTGTCATTCTTAATGGAGGCATGTTATTTCACACTACTAATGCACCAAGATTATTTAACTATTCCCTACTGTGCAATATTTAGCTTATTTCACAGTATTATTATAAACTAGAGGTCCAGTGCATGAATTCATGCATGGGTGGACCTGCCCTGATGGGGCCAATTGGATCTGGCCCAGGGGGAAGGGGACACGGGAGGTTGGCTGGCCAGCCCCGGCCCCAATCCGTGGGAGGTTGGCCAGCTGGCCCTGCCAGCTGGTCCTATTCCCAGTTGAGAGGACAATTTGCATATTACGTTTTTATATAGGACTAGAGGCCCGATGCACAAAAATTGGTACAAGAGTAGGCCTTCCTTCTCCCAGCTGCTGGCACAGCTTCCCTCCAGGACCTGGGCCCGGGCTGCCAGCACTGGCTTTCCTCCAGAATCCGGGCTTCCCATCTGGCCACCAGTAAGCACCCGGGACCCAGGCTGGCTTCCCCCTGGCCCAGCTCATCAGGAAGGACATGAGGAATGATGTCTAATTAGCATATTACCCTTTTTTATTCCAGATAGTGCTACAAAGTATACAATTATGGATTATGCGGCAGTTAGAATCAATTAACTAGATGTACACATAACAACATGGGTCCTTTATGTCAAGAAAAAAGGTAGGCAGAGATTTATAGCAGAATACCATGTAGGTAAATTAAAAACACACATTAAAAAAAAACATGTTTTATAAGGATACATGCACAGTGAAAGCCCATTATCAAGCAAAAAGAAATGGGTGTCTTAAAATGGAGGATAATGGGATAAGGAATGAGGGATAATGGAATAATCAAATGAGAGAGAAGCCAGGACACGTAGTATGGACCACTGTCGGTATGTCCTATTAAGATTACAGCAAACTTTCTCATGTTTAGATCCAAGAGCAAAAATTAATTTGTTTAATGTGCTGCGACAAACATCTCTGAACAATTTCCTTTATTCACTTAAAAAAAAAAAAGTACCTTCTTAAAGAAGTCTTTTTAACATTTCATGTCATAATGGATTAGTGGTGATGATCTCCTTTAGCTTTTTCTTGTCTGAGAAGTTCTTTATATGTCCTTCCTTTCTAAATGACAGCTTTCCTAGGTGGAGTAATCTTGGTTGTAGGTTCTATCACTTTGACTATTTCTTGCCAATCCCTTTTAGCCTACAAAGTTTCTGTTGAGAAATTAGTTGACAGTCATATTGGAACTCCCTTATAGGTAACTAACTGCTTATCATCTTGTTTGGGACTCTCTTCCTGGACTTGTATGTCTAGCTTCTCCAGGTTAGGGAAGTTTTTGGTCATTAATTTTTCAAATAGGTTTTCAATTTCCTGCTCTCTCTCTTCTCCTCTGGCACCCCCAGGATATAAATGCTTGAAGTTTTTTCAGAGGCTCCTTTCACTGTCTTCCTTTTTACCTTTTGCTGTTGTGATTAGATGTTTTTTTCTTCTTTATATTTAAAATCACTATTTTGATTCTCAGCTTCATCTACTCTACTGTTGATTTTTTTGTAAATTATTCTTTATTTCAGTTAATGTATTTTTCATTTCTGACTGTTTCTTTTTCACAGCTTTCATGTCATTTTTTATGCAGTTGGAGTTTTCTCTAAGTTCATTGAACATATTTAGAACCAGTATTTTGAACTCTGCATCCAGTAGATTGCTTGTCTGTATTTTGTTTAGTTCTTTTTCTGGAGTTCTATTCTGTTCTTTTATTTGGGACATGTTTCTTTGTCTCCTCATTTGGGCAGCCTCCCTGTGTTTATTTTATTTTATTTTATTTTATTGTATTGTATTGTATTGTATTGTATTGGGTACAGCTACTATGTTTCCCAGGCTTGGTAGTGTGGCCCAATATAGTATGAGTCCTATAGGATCCAGAAGCACAGGAAGACATTGTTGACTTCATCAGGTGCAAATAGTAGACCCTCCTTCTATGTTGAAAATTTTGAGGTGAGAAATAGATGAAATGTGCCAAGTATGTAACCCTCCTGTTGGAGTAGCAGAATGGCTCCACTGGGGTCCTTTATTCCCTAAACTGGGCCACTCCAGAAACAAAATTTCAGGATACATCACATTGAACCTTTTACTTTCCTACCTAAGTTTCATGTTGTAAGTCAACTGACCCTGTTATTTATTTTCTGAACTTCTTTACTATTTCATTTTCAATATTGGGTCAGTAACTTCAGTAGAGGTTGCAGCAGCGATGATTTTGCCTCCATTAGCTGTCTTAAATCTATAAATCATAACCAGAGGCTCATTTGTTACCTTGTGCTACACTCCTCTGGGGTTGATTCCTAGAAGTTAGTGGAATCTCTTCCTCCAACTTCTTGTAGAACCAGAGGAGGAATAGGCCATATAAGAAGAAAATGTAAAATAGACTGGCTGCTTTTAAGAAGTTAGAAGTTTTTGACAAAAGGCAGAAAAAAGAAAAAGAAAAACAACAAAAAATTGCAATAACAACTTCTTGATAACTTTGTATTTAATTCTTGGTTCTCTCTCTCTCTCTCTCTCTCTCTCTCTCTCTCTCTCTCTCTCTCTCTCTCTCCTTTCTTCCTTCCCTCCCTCTCATGTATGTGCAATGTGGACCAATCTAATATTTATAGACACTAACTCTGTGCCAAACATTGTCTGGCTGATTGGTTGATTGGACTATATCAGTAAATAAAACAGAAAAATATCTGCCCTCCTGGAGTTTACATCTAGTAGAGAGATAGACAAACAATATAACAATAAATAAATTCTAGAATACAGTAGAAGATGGCCAGTACTGTGGAGGAAAGAAATACAACAGTGAAATAGGGTTTGTGACTATGAGAACAGTTGCAATTTAAATAAAGCAGTCAGGGTGGGCTCAATAGTAAGTTAGCATCTGAGCATAGCTGAAAGGAAGGTAAGGAGTTAGGTGGGTATCCTCCTTGTGGGAAGGTTCCAGGCACAGGAAACAGCCAGTGCGAAGGCTCTGCAGCATGGCACAGTCAAGGACAGCAATGAGGCTGTGTGGTCCAATGTAGGAGATGAGGTTGCAGCAGTGGGGACCTTGCATGCCATTGAAGGGAGCAAAATAGGATTCCCCCTGAGGACTGAGTAAGGAATGCTAAGAGAGTGTAATAATGTGTAATAAAAGGACTTTGATCAATATGTGGCCAAAAGAAAAAGTAGATCAACCAAGAGTAGTTACATCTAAACACCTAAAAGAAGCCCAGTATTGCATAAAATATTTTCACTGTAATCCACAGCAAGAAATACATTTTATAGCATGACCTAGCAGTCACACAAAAGACATGCTGATAACATTGACTAAATTTATTTCACAGCCTAGTAGCAGGTTGTGATCTGCAGCTGAAATAACATAGTTATCAGTAATGTGATCATTTTGGTTATATTCTAACATTTGGATATCATAATCAAGACCATTATCAACTCTAAGCATGTTTTGGCTAAACACCACATCGGGCCTAATGACTTTAAACAGGGACCCACCATTAGTCCATTAATCAAAATCCTATGCATATACAAGATATCCTGCTTTTATGACAGCTGTCATGATATGAAAATATTGTGTGGGTTGGGTCACTATTAGGAAATTTAAAACATATGAAATCTGTGTATATCATTTTTGACAGGCAGCCAATATTTATGGTAGTTAGTTAAAGAAATTTT